ATTCTTGTTTAGAAGAATGGTTATTGTTAAAGAGCTCTGGTTTGCCTTGCACAAGCTTAGGAACTAATTTGATGAAAGCCATTTCCCTGTTGAGGTTGTGAGAAGTGTCACTAATATATGGCATGTAAGTAATGCTTTTCTCTATAAAAATATGCAGGAGGCAGAGAGAGAGGGAAGAATAAGCCACTATACATCCAACCTGTATCTTCATAGGAAAAGTCCTGTTTTTAATTGAACTGGAAATTAATTGATCTCATTATCTGGGTTATTCCAGGTCAGTGTTTAAGCTGCTATAAATATAGATTACTCAGACTGTCACATGCTAGTTCAATACTTGTTCCCAGAAGTATTATTAGGTACCACCTTAGCAAGTGCATTTAGCTTCTGTTAAAAGTATCTTCATAATTATGATGAGTTTTTTGTGCCTCTAACAGCTGCATAACAGTTGGATTTCAACAGATGTAGCTTTCTGAAGATTATGTACCATTGCTTGGCAAATTTGTTACATGTTTTATTTGCCTGTCACAGGCCTAATAAAGACACAGAGCCCTTGCCAGGACAAAAAAAAGTAGGAACTGTGAAAGCCAAGGTGTGTGGTAAATTAGATGCATAGGAAGCGCAAGTAGGGATGAGTCATGCTTTTGCTGTAACATGCAGAAGGAAACAGATTCTTACCTACAGTGAGATCTATCAACTCTAGGATTCATTTTCTTTCCCTGCTTCTATGTAGCATTTGAACAAGAACTAAACTCGGGATTCTAAAATAAAGCAGAAAATTATCAATTTAAAAATGTCATGATAAAAGCGGGATGAAGGGAGATGCCATTTATACATTTCTGGAGGTACCGGTACTTTTGACTTAGATTTATGAATTAGGTAGAGTAGAGATATTTGTAGCTGAGTTTGTCAACACTTCGTATGTAAAAGTCTTTAAAACATCATAATTCTTAAAGCATTTATGGCGAAATCATTTTTAATCCTGGAAAAAAGTGACAAGTCTGGCCTGTTGTTTAACGTCTGTTTAATGACTTCGATGAAGGAATTGAGGGGATGCTCATCAAATTTGCAGATGACACCTAACTGGGAGGGGTAGGTGATGAATTGGGATTCAAGATGACTTCAACAGATTGGAGAAATGGGCCAAACTAACAAAATGAATTTCAATAGTGACAAATCTAAGGTTCTGCACACACACAACAATAACCAGCTGCACAAATATACGATGGGGGACACCTGGCTTGCCAGTAGTACATGTGAAAAGGCTTTAGGGGTCTTAGTAGACCACAAACTTAACATGAGTCACTAGTGATTTCTGCATAGCAGGGTAGTTGGACTAGATGATCCTTGAGGTCCCTTCCAAGCTTACAATTCTATGATCTATCTCACTTCCTTGATTACTAGATATAGCCAGTGACTTCCAAACAGTGAACTTGGTAGTTACAGAGATTTTTAAATTACTTGGGGTAAGTAGCAGGTGGTGTGGTGTCGCCACTTACCTGCCCTCATGTTTCTGCTGCTTAGCTGGAGGACTATTGGGAGGGGAAAGGCAGGAGCAAGGGCAGCATGGTACAAACACACCAGTGAGAGCACTGTACCAACATGGCTTCACCTCCTGGTTAGAACAACAACTGACCAGAGGTCAGGTGAGTGATGGTACTTTACCACACCACTTGCTTGGGACATGAGTGATGATGCAGATATGGTTGAAGTCTGACTCTGGAGATATGGGGGTGACACTGCTAGATCTTTTCCAAGTACAATGAACTTTTGTGTTGTATCACACTGAACGATATAAAAAGTGTGACTTAAAACTACTGAACAGTAATGTATTTAAATAGATCTGTACACTGATGAAAATGCCTCTTTTTCATTACTGAGAGTAATATGTCAAAAAAAAAAGCTTGTTATTGGCTGATGTGTCTTTAAATGTCACTATTACTTTAGGAAATATGTCACAATATCAGCCCCCTCATCTTCACTCCCTGTCTTTAAGAGTTTTTAAGGTCAACAAGGAATGTGTATAAGGAGGACTAGGCTAAAAGCTATGTTAGGGAATGGACTTGGTTATTTTTTATTTGTATATGATAGTAGTGAGTTTTAATGAATTCCTCCAAAGCTCTGAATTCTGTCTTCGTTATAGAAGAGGTGAGAAGTTACATTAACGTGATTGCCATTTGGCAGGAATTGTGCAGCTGGTGGATTTTAATTAATGGAAACATTGGCTTCTGTGGGTGTCATACCTGAATTTCTCAGTTGCGGGAATTTCTGACATTGTAGCCATTTGAATCCTTCTGCTCTGCTTTGTGCTATATTTTGCAACATACTGTTCATTACAAGCTTTATTACTCTAATTTAGGACTCATCCTTAACTGTGGATCGAAAGGTAAATGTTGTTAACTGTTCCATAATGTCAGCATTCAGAGTCCAATCAGCCAAAGCAGTACTTTATATACAGCTTCTTAGCTCTAATATAAATTGGGAAAGGCCCACAGGTCTCACTTCAAAGTCCTGGATGGTATCTACCAACGGTTTCATGTAGACGTTAAACAGCATTAGTGGCAGAGTGAGGCTTGTGGAACACAAGTCAGTTCCTTTTATGCTCCACTGTTCACTCCAATACTAGATCTCAGATCATGTCCACAATCTAAGCTAGGAAATCAGCTGGGCAGCTGGCGCACTGTTGAACTTCCAACCTGAAGCTGAATCCCAACATAAGCTCCACAGAGTCCAACTGCTGTCTTCACTGAATACCTATGCAACTCTCAAATATGACATTTGTGTATCATATTGGCTCTATTTCCTTCTGTTCTTTTAAACCCCACTACACCCCTACTTTTTAACTATTATTTCTTATTAATTTATCCTAATCCTCTGTTACTGGAGCAGTTGTTGCTACTACAGGCTTTCACTTCTACAGCTGCCTGACCCCTCAGTTTGATTCTTAATTGTGCCTGTCTGCAACCTCTGCTCTTTGGCATGGTATCTTTTGACTATTTTTTCTTTTGCTTGTCTTGTTGACATCTGCTGTTTCATAGGTTAGCACAGTTCTCAATGAGGGATGTTCATCAGAACAAGATGAACACCTTGATTTTAGAAATGCAGTGTGCTGTAGCTGAGATCAAACTGGTTTGCATAAAACATCAATGTAAAATGTTTAGTATATAAGTGAGGGCTATGGACTTTGATAGTGTCAGTAGACAGTGGAATTTTACTATGTGGTTTAACCCATGGTCAGTATGAGATTAATTGGAGAACATAAAAATATTTATGCAAGTAAGTTTATTTATTTTTATTTACGTTTCTCTATTAAAATGTTTAAAAATATCCACTGTTCCATGTGGATGGATGTCCTCTGCACAGCTGCATGAGAATTGACTGTGTGGAACCCAAAATGCTTTTTGTAGACCTTGCTAACTATTTGGGGTGTGTGATTGTGATGGCTGAACGTAGTCTTTACATATGTGGTCTGATTTTGGCCTAGATACGTAATAGTCCTTAAACACACTATTCTCTAGTACTTATTTCGCCTTCCTCTAAGCCTTAATTTTTCACATTCTTCTGTTACCTTTTTAAAAAAAAGTAAATAGCACTGTTCCCAAAATTCTATGCTGTTATTTTTCCTTTTGAAGTTTCTTTACTTTTTGTGGCAGTAACAGTAATGATGGAATAGCTTTGTAGTTTTATCAAATGAATTATTTAGAACAATCGTAATGTGATGCTGTTCTGCTCCAAATAGCTAATACACTTTGTATTTGTCTTCAGTGTTTCAGCCTGGTGGTGTAATTGCCAGGAGACACTGGGAACAAATCATTCAGCACTTTAGTTTGCAGAGTACAAGATACTTGGGTGAAAGAGGCGAGAATGATCTAGGAACTGAAAAGGGACCTTGTTAACAGGCTGATCTTGTGTCTTTCTACTCAGAAATAAGTCTCATAGTTTTCAGTTTGGCTTGCTCTTGGGTAAGTGTGGATAGAATGGCAGCACAAAAGCATTTTTATTTGGCAGGTTGAAGAAGGCATGCTGTTCCTTTCAGGCATATATTTTAAATATGTATTTATATGCTTTACATGAAAGCCAAGAAACAAGAGACTGTATGCAAAGGCATGACAGAACAAGAAGCTCTTGCAATGATGCCTGGTACCTGGAATATGTGCAGGGATGGTTTTCTTATTTTTCTATGCTTCTTCTTTTCTTTTGTTCCTATCTTCTAGCTAAATCAATGACAGGTCAGGAATAGGGTGTATGTAGCATGAACAAATACAGGAAATGCAATTATATTTATTCAGTTCCCAATAAGGGTGTAGTCAGGTAAATAGCCCAGCATGAATGACTTCACCTTTCATGTGGGCTTGAATTAATTCACAGAATCACAGACATTGAAGTAAACTGTTTTTAGCTTGTCATTGGGAGTGTGGTTGTGACATTTTAAACCTGCTTGGTCAGTTCATTTTGGCTCTCTAGCATTCTATATTCATTGTAAAGCAATTCATCATGGACTTAAGGAGCTATAGTAATCTACTCTTGGCAGATGAAAATGATGTTATAAACTAGGCTTTACTGCATCATAACTGAAATAATGCTTTTATTTAGACAGGCATATGTTGATTTTACATTGCACTTTTTTCAATATATAGCCAATATTATCAATTAGTGAAGGCTGACAGCAACTATATTGTTATAGATAAAAAGGAAATAAAGTACAGGCTTTTAATATTATAAAATAGATATTAATAAACTGGATTCACTGTGACCATTATTAGGCCAACTTGTTATTGAAAGCACTCAGAGCTGTTCTACATTTGAAGGAAGTAATATAGCTTTAGTCTATTGATTTCAGTGAACTTAAGTACGCCTTACAGTGTTGGACTGTGGACAATAGGTTTTTGGTCTGGACCTTCTAGAGTTGAGTGTTCTTGAGTTGCAGATGCGTCTCCCCCTTTTCTTTCTTAGGCTATTTGAACTGAGATATGGCTTTAACTTTTACTGCTTTTTTTTTTTAGGCTTCAGCAAGCAACACACAACAAAATGAGTCATCTTGCTATTAAAAGAATAGCAAATGATATTATCAAATCACCTGAAGATAAACGAGAGTATCGTGGGCTAGAACTGGCAAATGGCATCAAGGCAATGCTTATCAGTGACCCCACTACAGACAAGTCTTCAGCTGCACTTGATGTACACATAGGTATATGATCATCTATAATATATTGTAACTTGGTTTTGCACTGTAATCTAATTCAAATGCGATAACTTTCAAAAAAACGGTTTACAACCTTCTACATACTACACTGAGGCTGCAATCCTAGTTTTGCTTACTTGGAAGTTGACATTATATGGAAGTGCACAAAACCCCATTGAACTCCCAGGAAGATGTGTATAGGTTTGCAATCTTACAGCGCTGGCTATCCATTTCTACTCAGAAGTCCTGCTGAATTCAGTGTAGCTTTCTCCCAGGTAAATGGAAGTACAGTGGTGCCTCGCAAGACGAAATTAATTCGTTCTGCAAGTCTCTTCGTCTTGCGAGTTTTTCGTCTTGCGATGCACGGTTTCCCATAGGAATGCATTGAAAATCAATTAATGCGTTCCTAGGGAAACCGCCTTCAGACCAGGTCCGGGACAGTCTGTCCCCCGACCTCTTCTGAAGGCTGGGGGGGGACAAGGGCCTTTCTTCCCACCCCCAGCATTTTAAAAAACCCCGGGACAGCGGAGGACGTCTCCGCTGTCCGGGGCGATCTTAAAATGCTGGCGGGCGGCATTTTAAAATCGCCCAGGGACAGCGGAGGACTTCTCCGCTGTCCGGGGCGATTTAAAAGCCCCTGGGAAGGCAGGCAGGGGGGACAAAGACTTTTGCCCCCGCCTGCCTTCAGAAGAGGTCCAGGACCTCGTTCCGATGCCGGGCGGCGGGGGGAGAGGTTCCCGCCCCGCCGCCCGGCATCGGGGCATCGTTCCGATGCCGGGCGGCGGGGTGAGAGGTTCCCGCCCCGCCGCCCGGCATCGGGGCATCGTTCTGATGCCGGGCGGCGGGGTGAGAGGTTCCCGTCCCGCCGCCCGGCATCGGGGCATCGTTCCGATGCCGGGCGGCGGCGGGGGAGGCGTTCCCGCCCCGCCGCCCGGCATCGGGGCATCGTTCCGATGCCGGGCGGCGGGGGGAGAGGTTCCCGCCCCGCCGCCCGGCATCGGGGCATCGTTCCGATGCCGGGCGGCGGGGGAGAGGTTCCCGCCCCGCCGCCCGGCATCGGGGCATCGTTCCGATGCCGGGCGGCGGGGGGAGGCGTTCCCGCCCCGCCGCCCGGCATCGGGGCATCGTTCCAATGCCGGGCGGCGGCGAGAGGAGGTGTCCCCGCCCCGCCGCCAGGCTTCGGAGGAGGTCCGAGGACAGCGGGGAAGACGCGCTGCGCTTCCCCGCTGTCCCGGAGATTTCCCTATGGGCTGTCGTCTTGCGAAGCAAGCCCATAGGGAAATTCGTTTTGCGAAGCGCCTCCAAAACGGAAAACCCTTTCGTCTAGCGGGTTTTCCGTCTTGCGAGGCGTTCGTCTTGCGAGGTACCACTGTAGGATTGTAGCCTTAGCCAGATTAGCCTCAGAAGTTAGGTTTGTCATAAAACTGGCTGTATAAATTATCGTATTTTTCTCTCTATAAGACGCACCAGACCACAAGACGCACCTAGTTTTTGGAGGAGGAAACAAGATTTTTTTTTTCTGAATCTCAGAAGCCAGAACAGCAAGAGGGATCGCTGTGCAGTGAAAGCAGTGATCCCTCTTGCTGTTCTGGCTTCTGGGATAGCTGCACAGCCTGCATTCGCTCCATAAGACGCACACACATTTCCCCTTACTTTTTAGGAGGGGAAAAGTGAGTCTTATAGAGCAAAAAATATGGTACTTGTTCTAAAGCAGGTCTAAGTTTTTCAAGGATGAATGATAGAAGAACTCAATTTATATGCTCCATATCCTTCTGCGCTTAAGCTCCCAGTGTGTCTGCCGGGGAATTAAAATAGTTTAATTTCCTGGTATAAATTAATGGCATATGGCATGTCACATGAAAATTATTCCTTTTTTAATATGTTTGAGAAGTCGGATAGTAGGCCTGAAAATGATGTATTTGCATGTTAAGCAAACATGAAATTAGAACATGGTTGTTACCTAGATGTTCTGATTAAAAACCAAAAACCAAAATGGTTACATATGTATGTCCTGCTTTATCAAATATCTTTTCTTTGTAGTTTAAAGTGCTTGGGGTGCTCACATAAACCACTTGCCTCTGATTTCCAGCTAACACCTTTCCTATAGCTTCTCTAAAGTTAGTATGAAGCAGCTGTATACTAGCAGGTGCATTCCAGCCTGGCTTTTCTGCAAAGGGAAATGGAGCTATATAATTTCCTAAATATTTGCAGTCATAATCAGTAAGATGATTTCTCTGACCCAGAGAAAAGTGTTAAAATGTTGATTGTTCTGGATGATTTGATTGCTTTATACTGAATTTGTGTATCAGCTTTTAAAGTAAGACTCTATTTCTGCCCATTTCTCCTATTCATAGGGTCATTATCTGATCCCCCTAACATTGCTGGGTTAAGCCATTTTTGTGAACATATGCTTTTTTTGGGAACTGAGAAATACCCAAAAGAAAATGAGTACAGCCAATTTCTCAGTGAACATGCAGGAAGTTCAAATGCTTTTACCAGTGGAGAACACACCAACTTTTATTTTGATGTATCACATGAGCACTTGGAAGGTGCCCTGGACAGGTGAGCATATCTATTAATGATTAAATATATTGGTTTGGTTTTGTCTTTCCAGCAAGCACAATTAACATGAGAGTCCTACCAGATGATAACATTATTTAGTGTATTTATTACTTCTGCTTTTTTATAATAATGACTTTAATACAATTGTAAAGACTAAATTACTGAAATACTTTTAACATCTTGGGAATAACAGTGATAAAAGAAAACATATGGAATGAGCCCTTGCGGTAGTATATCAAAATAGGTTCTAAGTGAGGAGAGACTCATCAACAGTATGGCGAGTGTCTTAAAAACTTCATATGGTTTATCATTTTGCTGTTACTTTACATAACCATGAAAGTGTTGCATAGGAACCTCACATATGTTTGTTCTATAAATATATTCTGCTTACACTCTCAGCATATGTTGCATATTTATCAGCTGACTCTCAAAGGCTCTTCTCTCTGTGGAATTTTATATTTGGTGAAAATAGGGATATTCAAGCTACTGCTGCATACTGTATATTTGATTTTACATCAGAGTTAGCAAAATAACAGTGCAATCGCTGGTATGTCTACTCAGAAGTAAGTTGAATTTGGTGGGGCTTACTCCCAGGTAATTTAGCATGATTTTTTTTCAAAGACAAAGTAATTAACAGGTTGCACCGCCCTCACTCATTTCATGGTCTGTGTCCTTTTACTTTTTTTAAAAAAGTTCTTTGGTTCATGTTGAGGGCCAAGGAGAGGCTTAGTAACATTAGCTTTGGTGATTTTGGAAGGGTCCTCAGTACGTCTGTGTAGAGCAGGTCCCAATAGCTCTTTTTTCACAGACACACAGCAGCCCTCTGCTAAGGAAACTTTGAATGGCTAGTAAGACAACAGCAAGAAGAAGCAGTAGCAAACAAGGCAGCTGATGGTATCTTGCTCATAGAGTGTGTCCTGTCTGCTAAAAAGGTCATTATAGTAAATTGCACTAGATTAGAACATCCACTTGGTGATGAGACTACTTAGCAACAGAGTGGCTCCAGGTGAACAAAATTTTTGATTAAATTACGGGCATCTGTCCAGAGCATTGAAGACAAAAGGCTCAGATCTGGTGGGCAAATCCTATCCTGAACTGATAATAAATTGTGTGCTTCTCCACACTGAACATGAATTTCATATGTTAAACTATCAACAATGTAATTGTCGAAACATTGATTTGGGAAATCTGACTTTTTTCTTGCAGGTTTGCTCAGTTTTTCTTGTGCCCTCTGTTTGATGAAAGCTGCAAAGACAGAGAAGTGAATGCTGTTGATTCTGAGCATGAGAAGAATTTAATGAATGATGCTTGGAGACTATTTCAGCTGGAAAAGGCTACTGGAAATCCCAATCACCCCTTCAGTAAATTTGGAACAGGTATTTAATCTTCCATTACATTTGCACATGATCTGCTTTCGATTGGGGAGTCCCTTTAAACTGTGCTGTGCTGTGAGGCTCCAAAGCATTATTTTATATTGGAAAAAATATATTATGAAGCAGAATGCCTTGTATGGCTGGAAGAATGGATCACTTTGGAAAAAGCAGATTTATTAGACCTGGAGGGCTTTAACAACAGGTATGGATAGCACGCCTACCTTGCATATGAGAAGATTAAAGTCAGAGCTGCACCCCAATTAAGTACTTCTGGGGAGAAATACATGAGGACTTGAAAAAAATGCTTAAAATCCCACTAATGAAAAAACCAGAGGCTTACCTACTGGGCCTATTAGGGAAAGAAATACTGAAATCGAAAAAAAGAATTTTCTTATATGCAACCACCGCAGCTAGAATAGTAATAGCACCTAAATGGAAAGCTAAAGAATTACCTACCAAGGAGGAATGGATTCTCAAATGAATATTTAACATTGGCTAAACTAACAGCATCCATACGACAGCAGTCAAATCAAAAACTGAAAAATGAATGGCAATGCTTTGATGACTATATGGCAAAATACTGCTCCAAAAAAGACATGCTAATATGCTTAGACTAAGAATGTAAATGCATCAAAACAATAAATTATCAGTGACATATGTATGTATATAGAGAAAATAAAAACAACCAGAATGCAATGATAAGGGTAAAATTGATTCTAGAGAAGACGAGTAGTGGTGGAGGGAAGTTAAACAGGGTGGTGGGTTCATTTTATTTTGTTTATGTTCTTTTTCTTCTTTTTTGGATATTGTATAATGATTTAATGTATAATGATTTAATGTTTCTTTTCTGTTATGTATTTTTTTTCTCTTTTTCTCTTAAATTGTATGACGGAAAATCTAATTTTTCTTTTTTTTAAGAATGTGTTAAAATAAAAACATGTTGTATGGAAATTATTTGATGATGTAGCCTTTACACATGGTGGTTTACTGCATTTGATTCACCTTTAAAAGCAACTGAGAATGTGTCACATTTATTTAACAGAATTTATATACCACTTGATAATTACAAAGCCTATAAGTGGTTTACAAGAAGTATTAAAATTACCAATAAAAAGCAGTTTAAGAATAAATACTGTAATTAAAAACATTTAAAAGATAATTAAAATTAACAGTAGACTGAAGAGAGATTAAAGCATGTCAACATCTACATGGATGGGCTTGTGTAAACAAAAATGTTTTAAGCAGATCATAAAAGAGTACTTAGGTAGAGAGTTACAAAGTGTGAGTGCTGCCACACTAGAAGAAATATTTCTTTATAAGTGTGGAAAAAGTATTATATAGCTGTACTGGTGGAAGAAACCTCTCTCAGCACTGCTTCTTAAACCAGAAAACAAAGCAATTCCTGAGAAATTTTCCAGAAAGATATTGTGGTTGATGCCACAGTAAAGTTCAGATGAATCAGTGTGTTTCACTTCCCTTCTCTCTTTTTCAGCATAGATCATCCACCCTTCTGATTGAAATGTGCTTTGAAATTGTGATAGCAGAGGGTTTAAGTCCGGTTAAGTGAGAGCAGCATGCAAGCTCTCACTCCTAAGGTTTTATTCCGTCCGTTTATTACAGCAGTATTACCTTTGGTGAACGTATTAGGGTTAAAATGGTGGTAGCAAGATCCCTTTCTGATAATGGTCACTTTTTGCCTTAAACATGATTTCAAAAACTCTTATTTTCAAATGTAGTTGCAGTCTTTAAAATAAAAAAAAGAAAACAGAAGCTTAAAGAGGTATAGCAGCACCAGATACTCTGCCATGTGAAGTGCAGATGTTGAGTCAGATTCCACTAACCTAGTGTGCTAGCGGAAGCCAGTGCAAGGACTCCAATTAGTACAACAGGGCTTTCCTCCCCCTCCACAACCCCCAAATCTGCTCTGGAGGGTCAGGATAACAGGGCATGGGGAGGGGAAGAAAGGGGGGATCATTCTGTCTCGCAAGCAATCAGGAAAGTGCAATGTTGAATTATTCTGTAAGGGTGGCAATTCACAATGAAAGTGTACGGAGACCTGAACTACTGTGCATTCATCATAAATTGAATAAGACCATTTGTTTATGTATCTTGAATGGTTTTTCTTATTCGTGCTTGTCTATATTCATTACTACTATTTGTGAATTGAGCTGATCATTCTTTAAATCCCTGTTCTCATTATTTTTAGAACATTATCTTCACCTCACTTATTTTATGATTTCTTGCATTAAGCTTGTTTTCATAACTACATTTCATCAACCCAGAATGCTGTGTTTTAGCTTTATTTTGCATAGCAGCAATGTAAGAGTCAGCTTACTGGAAATTAGAAACTCTAGTCTTGATTTTCCTTTTTCACTGCCAAAAAAAGTGAAGTAATTTAGAAAATTATTATTGATTAATAAGAATTGGGAGAAAATTATGATTGATTAATAAGAATTGGGAGATTGATTAATAAGAATTGGCAGCCCATTTGAAGTTGCCACATGATGTCAAGTGAGTGATATCCACCCTGACTTAAACCACAGTTTCCTAAGTCAGGTATCGTGGGGAAACTGTTTTAATTATCCCGAAAGTCTTATCTAAGGCCAAGGGTGGGAGGAGGAAGCGCTTGAGCTAACTGCTCATTTCTACTCCAACAAACCATGCTTTGTTGACTCAATAACACTATATCTGACGCTGGCCTGAACATGTCCATGAACTATGAGGATATACACTGCATTTGTTGTTAGGCACAACACTAATTGTATGATTAACATACCTGTATTTCTGCTCTACACAACCTTTATATTATGAATATCAGAATAGGATTTGCCTGTTATCTTATTAAGCAAAACCCAGCAAATTAGTGAAAATGTATAAAAAAGGGTCTAATTTATTCTGGAGGTGCCACGAGATGGAGGGAACCCTGATCCATATGTGGTGGTTATGTAAATATGCTGGAGAGTATTGGGAAATGATCCACACAGAATTAAATAAGATTCTAAAACTCACGTTTCTCAAAAGGCCAGGGGCCTTTCTATTAGGGATAATAGGTGATGATATTCCAATTCCAAAAAAGGCATTAGTATTTTTCTGTACAAAACCGCTGCAGCTAGAACAGTATATGCGAAAAAACGGAAAGAAGAGGAGATACCCACGATGGAAATTTGGCAAAACAGATTGATAGTTTCACAGTCATGGTTACTAATGCTATGTATTCTAAGGAATAAGGATGAGATAAAGATAAGAGTGGAGGTGTTTTGGATACTGCACGATGTGTGTATAAAAGCTGTTAAAATTGTGTAAATAAAAGTTTAGAAAAAGGATTTGTAGAAGCAATCCCTTGAGAACACAATTCCAGATTTCAATTCTCCTAACTCCAAGCTATTCAAGCTGAGCCACAAATGGTCTTGCTGAAATCATGAAAGCAGGAAATCCGATAAACATCTTGCACTCGATAGAAGTACCATCATGTGATAGAAATATAAATAGGATCTGCATGCACAATGCCCATCATTTGTTGTTATGAGAATAAAGTGAGGGGGTGCGGAGAACCATGTATGCCACCTGAGCTCATTGGAGGAAATGAAGAGTATAAATGTAGTAGTAATATAAAACAATCCAGATGCTGTAATCTGTTTGAGGGATATGTGCAGTATCACCTCTTGTGATTGCAGGGATTAACAGTTTTTACAGAACTGAGCACATTTACCCAGTCATGGCTCTTATTGTAACACATCCTTCTTTTTATTTATGTACTGTAGGAAGCAAATTCACTTTGGAAACTAGACCAAACCAAGAAGGAATAGATGTAAGACAAGAGTTATTGAAGTTTCACTCCACTTATTATTCATCAAATTTAATGGCTGTTTGTGTTCTAGGACGAGGTAAGAATGCCAAACTTTTTGGGAGCCACTTTTAATATATAATCAATTTACAATGGATTAGCACTGGAATTTAACTCTGTGTGGGTGTGTGGGTGTAAAGAATGCAACCACTCTCCAAATCCTAAACCACAGGTCTACCTTAAATCTGTAGCATTTCTAATATCTACACTTATTAATTTGTAGGATGACTTAAAAAAAATTATAGAAAGGGATGTATGTACTCTGCAGATTTGTAGTAGAAGAAAAAGATTGTGTGTCTGCTGCAGAATTTGTCATTCTGAAAATGTCTGTTTTTATATAATGTATATGTTTCTACCCTAGTATTTTCTTATAGATGAATCTTAAAATATAAACATGCAGTGATGTTCCAGAACTCAGAACATGGAGGGCAGGCTTCAGTGACATGCATATCCTTGCATGCTCCAACCTCCATATCTTTCTTAGTCTCACTGCTTTCTGCCTCCCAGTCTAGACTCCATAGTTTTAATTCCTTAGGAAGATACTTTATTCTGGGCACAGAATTTTTATATTGAAGAATGTGTAAAATGCATTCAGATTTTAGATACTGACTTTTCTTAAGACTGTGCTTATCAAGGCTTTCTCTAAAAGGAGCAATCAAGGATAACATCTGTGAAACTTTTGACCATGTGTAACTTTCTTTTCCTCCCAAATATATGCATACAGAATCTTTAGATGAGCTAACAGGTTTGGTAGTGAAGCTATTCTCTGAAGTAGAGAACAAAAACGTTCCATTACCAGAATTCCCTGAACATCCTTTCCAGGAAGAACATCTCAGGGTGGGTTTATTGCATTGTGACTTCTTTTAAAATAAGTTTTATGTTGTGTTTTTAAGCAAGACCAGAAAACTACTGTGATAAGTTGAGTAGCGTCATAGCACATCAGAATTACTTGTACAGCAAGACAAATGTATGTTGGCTGGAAAAGGTGTGGGTGTAGGTGTAATCGGTCCCTTCCTGAAACTTCACTAATTGTTCTGCTAGAAAATGCAGTTGAGCAATATTAATTTTATGTTATGGCCTAAGCATGAAATGGGCATATGTGTAATGAACTGTGGGTGGTGGATTTGAGAAGAAAAGTAGCCTTGTAAAGGCAAAATACTGGGTTCAGTTTAAATCTGATTTATTTTGCTTTTTTGTTTGTTTCACAGCAACTTTACCAAGTGGTACCTATCAAAGACATTAGAAATCTTTACGTCACGTTTCCAATACCAGATCTTCAGAAGTACTATAAATCAAACCCTGGCCATTATCTTGGCCATCTTATTGGTCATGAAGGTCCAGGAAGTCTTCTATCAGAACTCAAAGCTAAAGGTAAGGTGTGCAGTGAGTTGACATTGAAACCTTGGGGCAATTGCTTCCCTACAGCTCAGCCCCTGAAAAGTAGGAGTGAAGTAAACAAAATCCAAGTTGCAGTTGTAATATTTCAAACAATCCCGCATTATATTACTGATGCTCTTTTTGGTTTTTCCTATCAATGGCTCAGTACTTCTTATATGAAAGATTATAAGGGATCTCATTTGTATGCAGTATATCCCCTCTCGCCAGTATTCCATCAACAGGATCACTGTTTGTGATGCTCAGGACATGTTTACCAATGTGTAGCATATGTCCCCCTTGCTCTCAAAATGCCCCATTTGGGGGCCTGCACCAGCTTCAACTCCAGCTCCACCAGGAGTGGCAAGGGGGCACAGGCATATTGCCAACTGAGCTGGGGATGGGGACTTGGACTGACATAGCCTAGCTGCATTGGGAATCTGCTGAATTCTAAACTGCTCATTGCAGAAGATCTTTACAAAGGATTGCCCCCAATGCACTTAGATTTTGTCTGCATGCAATGTCTTTCTGTCATTTGGTTCTTTCATAGTATTTATTTAATTTCATAGATGTTAACCAAAGACATATACAGTGGTACCTCGGGTTACATATGCTTCAGGTTACAGACTCCGCTAACCCAGAAATAGTACCTCAGGTTAAGAACTTTGCTTCAGGATGTGAACAGAAATCGCATGGTGGCAGCGCGGCGGCAGCGGGAGGTCCCATTAGCTAAAGTGGTACCTTAGGTTAAGAATGATTTCAGGTTAAGAACGGACCTCCGAAACGAGTTAAGTTCTTAACCCGAGGTACCACTGTACCTTCTAATTTTGTTTGTGTACATGAACAACATAACTAAGAAAAAATCAACTATTGTGTGTGAGTTTTAAATATATTCTATTTCACAGGCTGGGTAAATACCCTGGTTGGAGGACAAAAAGAAGGTGCTAGAGGTTTCATGTTTTTCATCATAAATGTTGACCTCACAGAAGAAGGACTTTGTAAGTGGATCCCTTCTTTTATTCTGTGGAGTTTGGATTTGGAGCACATTGATCTAAGTGGGCTACTCTAAGTAGACCTTTTTTACATCTCCCAGAGTGAGAAATATCTGATGGAAATCCATACTATAATAGCTAGGTCAGGGACAAATGAATTGGCTTCAAAGTAACTTCCCCATCACATGCAAAAATGTAGAGATAAGAACAACCTCACTGCCAAACATTTGTAATTTTAAGATTGTAGGTGGGTTTTTTTAGAGGGTTGAACAAATGATCTATGTGCTCATTCTTAATTCTACAGATTTGAAAATTGTTTTCCTGCATCTGAATACTGCTAGTGTTCGCCCAAATATGAGGAAAGTTCTTAGCCCATCTAATTCTGTTGAAATTATCAGGAAGCTAGTTGGAGGATTCCTAATTGTATATAAAACTAAGCCAAATTATGGCTTGCCACAAGGAAGCAAATGTGGGTTCTCAGAGATAAGATAGTGGCTGTTTTCTTTTCCTCTAGTGCTACTCCTACTACATGGTTTGCCTTAGCATTACATCTGATCCTGGGCTTATGCTTTATTTTGCTCAAAACAAGCCATGAGCTGGGGGCAAGGTTTGTTCTATGGTTTTGCCACTCGTAGTTTGTGCAGGGAAAATAAAACATGAACCTGGATTCAGACATAAAGCTCATTATGTTTGGACATAATGCTAAGGTCACAGCAGCATAGCAGCAGCAGGATCAGAGGAGGAGCAAAGTGGCCACAATCTTCTATATTTGGTTGCTCACAATGAGCCATGGGTTTGGTTTTGTGTTATGTGCAAATTGGGCCTCTGTTAAGATCATAACTGATCAGCAAGTTTATCTCTCTGGAAATTATTTGTATATCTAAAGGTATCATGTGCATGTTGTTTGCTTGATACTCTATATACTTTTACATTAGTCAAATAGATGTGTGAATACTGCATACATTCGGTTTGTACAACTTTGTATTAGATTAGCCTCTGTCAGACTGAGCTGCTAGTTTTAAGTATAAGGGCTGAACTGGAAGATTGATGGTCGGCAATGCAGTCCCAACCATATCTGCTCAGCAGTAAGTCCTGCTGAATTCAATGGGGCTTACTCTCAGTTAAGTGGGGATAGAATAGCAGCCCTAAATGGCTCACCCACTGGAGCAAATAGATCGGGGAAGGGCATCGGAAAAAAGGGTTTCAAACATCCCCGTCTTCAAAGTGCATGCATGGGGCTGCTGATTCGTTTTTTAAAAGCCTTGTACATGCACACAGGAGATTCTAATTGCAGATCTCTTGTGTCATGTCTAGTCTTGGCCCTAAGAAAACTAAAAATGTTCACTTTGTGTTTCCCTGAGAAATTGCTTATGCATGCAATATTTTATCTTTTTCTTGAAAGTACACGTGGAGGATATTATCTTGCACATGTTTCAGTATATACAAAAACTACGTACAGAAGGACCTCAAGAGTGGGTTTTCCAAGAATGTAAGGTATGATAATTGCAACATATTTGAGGTTTTCTTTCAAGTAGTTTTAGAGATTCACACCAGATCTTCTCTTATTTTAGATACCTTAATTAGAAATAGATTGCATCTGTTAAATTTTCTTGTTTTTAAAATTAATTCATGAACTTATGAACAAACACATGACCTACCTAAAATGATGCTATATTTAATAATCCATAACTTTATAAACATAAATTCATCTTATAGAAGATTAAAATTATTATAACTTCCATTTTCTTTAAATCTGCCTAGTTAAGTTCCTAATGTTCTTGAATGCAATCAATTGGTTTCTAATGCTTTTGAATGCAGTTTATTACATACATTGTTTACTTTGCCCTAAATGCTTTGTAATAACTTAAAGCGGTTTTCACTTATTCTCTTATGTTTGCCTGCATTCATTAAACCACAGTGCATTTATTCAATTGATTGCTAACTTCAAAAAACAAATAAAATTTATGTCCAAGCTTCATTTCCCATTATCATTTAAAAATACCATTCTTACCCATCGTTTACAATATGAAGAGTGGCATTGCAGAATAACTTAATTTTATTTCTTGTTTTAGGATTTAAATGCTGTAGCCTTCAGGTTTAAAGATAAGGAAAGACCCCGGGGTTATACATCAAAAGTTGCTGGGATTCTTCACGTAAGTTACGAAATTGGACTGAATTTAATGCTGAAATATTTCTCAACATTTCTGAAATGTGTCAAAAGTTGGGCATTAATGTCATTAGGTTGGGGTAAAGCACAAAAAAATTATGCATGTATAGTGATAAATTACTTTGTCCAAGATGAGTATTGCAGGCCAAAAGATGTTGATATGTCATACAGATAGGTAGCCGTGTTGGTCTGCCATAGTCAAAACAAAAAAAATTCCTTCCAGTAGCACCTTAAAGACCAACTAAGTTAGTTCTTGGTATGAGCTTTTGTGTGCATGCACACTTCTTCAGATACACTGAAACAGAAGTTGCCAGATCCTTCTATATAGTGAGAAGGTGGGGAGGGGTATTACTCAGAAGGGTGGTGGGAATGGGTGATTGGCAGATAGCTGTGATGAGCCTGTTGACGACTCTTAACGACTGCAATAGGTCTTACAGGAAAAAGCAAGGGGTGAGAAGGGTCCTGGGAGATTGAAGTGAATAAACGGACATAAATCTGACATCAAGAATCACAAGACAGAGAAACCAGTAGGAGAACACTTCAATCTCCCAGGACATTCTATACAAGATCTCAAAGTAGCTGTTTTACTACAAAGGAATTTCAGAAATAGACTGGAAAGAGAAGCTGCTGAATTGCAACTTATTACCAAACTTAAAAGCATGGAGAGACCTGGTCTGAACAAAGACATTGGATTCTTATCTCATTATACATGACAAAGCCATTTTTCACCTTCTCACCCCTTGCTTTTTCCAAGGTTTTTTACCAAGAACTAACTTAGTTGGTCTTTAAGGTGCTACTGGAAGGAATTTTTTTTGTTTTGATATGTCATACAGTTACACTATAAAGTGGTAGTGACAGCTAATTGTCTCCTCACTTAATAACTCCATGGAAAGACTAGTTACGAAGTGTGGACTGGGACCCTGACTGGTGCTGGATATAGCTGAATAATTTGCACTGTTTCCTTCCAAGCATAACTGAACTGATTATCTGTATATTGATTAATCAGTATGACTTTTACAATGCACAAGCATGCTTACTGGTTAAATGATCTTTCCTGTACCAGGCGTTCTTAGGGCCTGGTCCTAAACATATGGTATTGTCTTATTTATCTGTAGACCTGTTAGGTTTTAGTGTCTTCACATCTAAAGAGCCTTGGTGACTTAGATCGAAGGCAGACTCACCAAAGGTTCCAGTTTGCAAAACAACCTTGGAGACATCTTTGCTTCTACACTCTTTTTTATTTCCAGAATGAATTCATAAGTACTGAATTCTTTGCTTTTTGCTGGGGGCGGGGGGGGAGAAGATTAGACTTTCTGTTAGAATTTCTGAAAGTAGGGTTTTTTTAAGATACTGCTACATGAACATGTTTATGTTGCTTCCATTCACTTTGAAAACATCCTCCAGGGGTCAGCATTTGCTTCTTTTTATCCATTATAATATCAACAATTTAGTACAGGTAGCTTTTTTTTTATTAGCTGTGTACTTAAATGACAGTGATTCTTTCTGTACTATGGGTGACATCTAACATTAGTCATAACTCTGAGAAGATCTATTGATTTCAGTGAGTCTACTCCAAGTGTTACTTAGAGTGATAGCCAACTATCTTAGTAACTATATCGTATCACTTTAGTATTATGCATAATGTCTTCGGTTTAAACTAAAAATATCACATTTTTATTGTAGTACTATCCTATAGAAGAAGTTCTTGCTGCAGAATATTTACTTGAAGAATTTAGGCCTGATTTAATAGAAATGGTATTGGATAAATTAAGACCTGAAAATGTCCGGTAAGCTATATTGCCACATCCAATATTTTGTACAGATTGAGATGGAAATATTTTGCAGGTTAAAACTGCTAATGGATTGTAGATTGTACTTTTAAATCCAAAAGAACTTTACACGTGCAAAACTCATTGAATTAAATATTTAAGTTTTCCTAATCTATACAAAGAAAAATATTTAGCATAGCATGGAAGGAGGGAAGAATACTGCATAATAATTTTAAGAACTGATAGAACCCTTTGTCATATTTACGTAACTAATGTGTAGTTCTTTTGAATTATCATACGATGTTGATAGACTTCATTGAAACTTCACACCCATGTCACTGACTCTTCTGGATGCTTTCACGCTAGGGCTCAATTGAAACAATCCTCCAACCCATAGGTGAAGAAACGAAAGGAACAGCAGGCATGCTCTTCCCCTCTAGCGTGATGCTTTTCTTTCTGTTTTCTATTTATTGTAACTATAGTTTGCCACATTGGCAAACTGGTCAGTGCTTGCCCTTGAAATCAGAATCTGAAAATGAGATTCGAATTAGGTATATGATTCTAGTTGTGGCAGGTTGAGGGGCATAGATGACACAAATTGATTATTTGGGAAACTGTAAAGATGATAGTTGCTGCAGAATAGGGACCGAGAGGGAACTTGTGCTTGTAGGATTAACTGGACTGAGCCCAATGCTTCTACTTAAGGAAAACACACTCTTCTTTGTGCAGCTCTTCTTGAGAATCACAGTGGTTCATCATGGTTTTTACCTGTGATTGTATGCTCACCCCAAGTTTGCACTTGGCCCACATACAGGGTCCATGTCAGCAGACACCCCTGACTGCTGCTTAATTCATAGTAATGTATTGACTTGCTCTGTATTTGTCATATGATTTGTAAAACAAGATTGTTGCAGCGGAGTGGAAACACAGTTGTCCACTGGCAACAGAGAGGTTTTTATTAGTGGCAGGTAACCTCTTCCTGCTATTTTCAATACGATAGACTTTCATACTTGGTGTACATAATTGACTTTTATTTTTTTGCTGAAGCCATGGTTCTCTGCCAGTGTATGCTAGAAACACTGAGATAAGCAGTGTTCTCTCATTGCCAGTGACAGAATTGTTACCATAGTAACTAATTTCAAAGGGAAATAAAGCTTCCCTCATACTATTGTATTGTGCCTTGTAGTCATACATAGTGTGAAAGAAGGCTGAGTGGGGTGCTTCATTTACAGCACAGAATCTTCCATCTTGAGATATTATTTGGCAGCCAAGGACAAGGTTAAAATGAAAAATTGCTAGTTATTTCTGTCTCTGATTCAGCCCTATCCTTTGTTTTTAAGGTTATGTTTGTACTAAATGTTCAGACTGATTAAGTGTTCCATATATCCAACTGTCCTATAGTCTTCTAATTAACTACGAGTTGGCTCTGAGGTGCTAGAACAGGATTGATAGTAAATGTTTTCTCTCCTTGAAGCCTGGAAAACTGTTAAAACTAATTGGAAACAGTTGTTAAAATGTTGCAGAGAGCATGATCACAAAAGTATGTTGTAGTTTTACCCATGGATGACATTTGCATGGTCTTTTCCTTTGCTTCACATTTCTGTTTAGAAATGGTAGAAAATGAATTTAGGAGCACCTTGGGTGTGTTATAAAAGGTAAAGGTACCCCTGCCCGTACGGGCCAGTCTTGACAGACTCTAGGGTTGTGCGCCCATCTCACTCAAGAGGCCAGGGGCCAGCGCTGTCCGGAGACACTTCCGGGTCACGTGGCCAGCGTGACATCGCTGCTCTGGCGAGCCAGAGCCGCACACGGAACGCCGTTTACCTTCCCGCTAGTAAGCGGCCCCTATTTATCTACTTGCACCCGGGGGTGCTTTCGAACTGCTAGGTTGGCAGGCGCTGGGACCGAGCAATGGGAGCGCACCCCGCCGCGGGGATTCGAACCGCCGACCTTTCGATCGGCAAGGCCTAGGCGCTGAGGCTTTTACCCACAGCGCCACCCACGTCCCCTTGGGTGTGTTATATATGCTCTTAATTGCTGGGAATTTTTTCAAATATTCTGTTAACGTCTTTTTTAAAATACTTGTCATGAGAGCTAGAAATCTTTTATTTTAGTGAATTTTTTAGTGAAATTTTGCATAGCTGCAAAAAGCAAACTGAGCTTAATATATTAAATCCTGTAAAATACATCCTCTTATACACAAGTTCAGTGTATAATCTCTCTCTCTCTCTCTCTCTCTCTCTCTCTCTGTGTGTGTGTGTGTGTGTGTGTGTGTGTATATATATATATATATATATATAAATATCTTTTATGACAAGGGGTCGTTTAACATAGCCATTTTGATATGGATAAATGTTGCTTTTTGTTTTACTGACAGGAGGATTACATGGAAAAATAGAATAGGACATATAGAATTTACAGTATTAATAACAGAATCTTGAACTTAGTGACCAAGCAGAATTATTTGAATAGTATTTTAGGGGGCGGGGGAGGTAATATGCTTGCTTACTTACTATGTCTTGGTTTTATTTTTTAGGGTTGCAATCGTTTCTAAGTCTTTTGAAGGAAAAACTGATAGAACAGAAAAATGGTATGGAACCCAGTACAAGCAAGAGGCAATTTCTGATGAAGTCATTAAGGTGTGGTGAGAAAGTTGGTGGTAAACTGAATATGTAACCAGTATTTTCACACTTCTTACAATCAGGGCGGAGGAAGGGGGGGCGGTGGGGGCGGTCCACCCCGGGTGTCGCCATTGAAGGGGGTGACAAAATGCTGGGCGGCACTCACTGCGGGGCCTGCAGCACACCCAAGGCAGGCGTCTCTCCTGGGAGTGATGCGGTGGCTTGAGTGCCCGCAGGCTCTGCACTGCCCCAAATGGTCCGCCGCCACCTTCCCCTCAGCTGTAGGGTGGCTGAGTGGGAGAAGGCAGGCAGATTCCTCGGAGGCCCTGCGGAGCATCCTGCCCTGGGTCGCCCCACCCCTGTGGCTGGCCTCGCCCCTGGGCACAGGGCACGTATGCTGCCCCAGGCGCCCGATCGGCTTCCTCCGCCACTGCTTACAATAAAGTTTATTTTGTGTTGTTTACAAAAGCAACTAATACTGTTGCTTGTATAAGTGTGTCACATTGGTGTCAGTTAATTTCAACTGGTGTTATGGGGGGAAATAGATTTCACTTCAAAATGTGAACCAAATCCTTGAACATCTCTTTGTGGTGCAGCCAATACTATACATGTTGGACCCTTAAAACACCTCCCCCCCCAAAAAAAATCCTGATTAATAAGCTTTAGCGAGAGAGAAACTATGTGCAGAGCACCTAGCTGAACATACAGCTATGATCACACACGCAGCTGTGTTTGGAGGATTTGTGTAATATTTTCACATACTGCTAAGAGTGAAAACCAGCTGCTCACATGGTGATACATATTGCAGAAAGCATTTCTTAGTAGTTCTACACAGTGGTTAGAGCATGCACTCTAGCCCTCAGTCAGCGCTATGTTCTAAGTGTTTATGGAACATAGTTAAAAGCAAACTTAAATGGTATTATGTGAACTGCAAGGAATCATACAGATTAAATAATTTGAAACATTAGTAATAATTAATTTTGTCATGAATTTTGAAGAAGCATCATTCATCAGAGGTCGATAATCCTTCATAGAGCAGCACAATTGCAGCACAATTTTTTTTAACCCACCCACTGGATAATAACAAAACTGTCCTCTTGTTTGCACATTGAATGTAGAAATGGCAAAATGCTGACCTCAATGGGAAATTCAAGCTGCCAATGAAGAATGAATTTATCCCTACTAACTTTGAAATTGTACCTTTAGAGAAGGATGCACCACAGTATCCTACTCTTATCAAGGTAAGCATATGTATTTAATAGTTGTGGGTGGAATTTCGGGAATATGTACCATTCTTTCCTGAATTGCTTTTGAAAGATCATTGAAAGGTCATTGAGTAGGCTGCTTATAATATGAACAGTATTGTAAGAATAGATTGTAAAAATGAATGAAAATTGGATCTTTATTTTAAGAGGTGACTAGCTCCTATCCAGTTGGCTTTTTGCCCCGTATACAAAGTATATAAACCTTCACATAGTGGTGGAAGTGAGTTCAAATTGCGGAGTTAGGAGATGAACTCCTAATGGGTCATCCCAATATCAGGTAAGCCCAGACCCTGCCATAGCTGTCTCTCCTTTCCAGACTTACCTGGCAGTGGTGCAATCAAACGGCGTATGGATTTAGTGTTCATACCGGCAAAAGTCCCACAGGGCTTAGAGGTCCTCCTTCCATCTCAGAAATGTTAGCATATAAGCATGTGTTTAGACAGCACAAGGGAACATCGTAGGGAATAGGTCTGCATCACTGTGTGCTTAATTGGGGTGGGGTTGAGAAATTTGGGCTCTGTTAAACCCTGTGGGACTGCACCCAAACTCAGATGGCCTGGCTCTGTATGTTTAAAGAATATAAACAGATTAAAATGATAAAAATACAGTTTGTAATTTAATAATAATAATAATAATAATAATAATAATAATAATAATAATAGAAAATGTATGTTTTCTTAAACTCAGGACACTGCTATGTGCAAGCTATGGTTCAAGCAAGATGACAAATTTTTCCTACCCAAAGCTTGTCTCAACTTTGAATTTTTCAGGTATGCACGCATTCTTGTCTTTAAAATTTATCATTATAAGCAGAGTCATTCAAGAAAACATTTTATCATTCTAGACATGCTAGGGGCTGCTACAGTGGAATAACTGAAATTGTTGGTTCCCACTTATTGCTGAAATCCAGTATTATGGATGTGCAACAGTGTGCACAGGTTTTGTGCTGGCTGAAAAGTATTGTCCACATTCCAGAGGAGCAACCATGTTAATCTGTTGCAGCACAAGCAACAAAGTCTTTTAGCATCTTAATTTGTTACTGTTAAAGTGCCACAAGAGTGTTTTAAACATAATCCAAGAGGTGTTAATGACTCTCCTCCTTCACCACACTCCTACACCAAACATACCTCTGGTGATAGAGATTCACAGCACAGAGAATATATGCACAGAAACATGCTTCCACACATGTATGGCTATATCCAAGCCATGGGTGTTTGTTTGATTGATTAATTCATTCCTCAAAGGAAAGTAGCGTTCAGTCTATTCAGTGGAGCAGTCCCTCAGCTTTATGATCCCGATGAGTGCCTTGTTTGACCTGGACAAGTCCACTTTTATACAACTTTGTTACCATTCTACTATCCTTATTTAACCCCTAAAGTTATTTTTGTGTGTGCTAGGAGCATCTGATTTTGGAGGAAGGTTTTTTTTAAAGTAAGATTTGTCCAAGAAGTAGAATGTAGGACTGTTGTATTTGTCAGAAACTGGTATGATAGCAGGAATTAGTATTGTAGTTAAAAACCTACTTTGGTGAAATTGCTTGGTTCTGAAGTCAAATTTCCTGTTAAAGTTGAAGCATACTTAACATTTTACAGCACTGAAAATGAAATTTAAGATAAAACCAAGTAAGTTAGGTTTTTACACTTAATATAATTGCTAGCTAATTTCATGGTCCCATTTTGATTTTTGAGGAAGCATGTGAACTGCAGTACTGCTTAGTTTTGTAAGAGAGTTTATAGATAGAAACTTGGGTGGTTATGTATCTTGAAATGATAATTCCTATATTAAGTAAAATGCAGCCATCCCCCCCCCAACTTCTTTAGCTTCTGATGAGTTTTGTATTGCAAAGGTTTTAAAAATGAGGTCTCAGCCTTTTCTGATTATGTTGTTTCTGCTTGTGATGGGTCTCTACAATAATAGCCTTGAGATAAGATGCATATGAAAATGCAACATTGTCCAGTGAGTTTTAACATATATTGAGGCCACATACATTTCTGGGAGCAAGTCTGATTGAGCCCAGTGAAACTTAACTTCTGAATAAATAGTGTTGGTTTGCATGTCAGAAATCATCGTGCAAAGGGTCACTTGTTTCACATTATTAAAAGAACATTCTGATTTTTCTTCAAAAAGAGATGCATGGTTTTAATTAAATGTTTTGTTCTTTGAATCATTATTCTGCCCCATAATTATTATTTTGCTTTAACATGCTGAATATTGTTGTACTTTTTATTTTACTTATGATAGAATTCTTCAGTAAGAAATGTTGCTTTGTGAACAATTGGGCGATGTTGATGATTTCATATTTTTAACTGCTATATGTATATATCCATAATAGATATTAGACCATACTGTACACAAATTACTTCTGCTCTTAATCTGGTTTGTCACTTTTAATATGTTGGTGTGAAGCAGTATTGTTGAAACATGACTTGAGTCTTTGAGTTGTCTTTACCTTTGGAAGTCTGAGCAGCGTACTCTTCCTCCTTGGGATATTGCAAAAATATATCAGGGTAGTGTTATGTGCTAAATACAAAACTTTGATATTTTTGTGCCTAATATAGAAAATGCCAGTGGTTTGGTAGCAAACCTATAACTGTGCTATTTCCTGATTTTGTGAAACCAGCAGCTGTGTTCAGTGAGGTTTAATCCTGATGACAAGCAAGTTAAGTGTGAGACTGTCCTACTTGGCAAGCTTTTAGATTTATCCACTGTGGCGATTTTTAACTCATTGCATATTTTAAGTGTTTTACATATGTTTTGTACTTGTTTGTAAGCATTTGTCTTTGTAGCAAATTCAGAATAATGTGAGCTAAAAACGGTTTTGTGTAATCTTACGCAGTAAATTTAACATAGCTGTAATACGTGTGTGTGTGTGTGTGTGTGTGTGTGTGTGTGTGTGTCTCAGTATGGAATTGTTTAATCAATCTTTCCCCCTTTAGCTGTGTGTTTGTGTTCACATACTGTCTTAATATTCCCATAACAGGAAGCAGGATTTTCTTTTTTATTGTGTCCTTGAGATCCAGTATGGAGGATCTAGCAGAACTGGGAAGTAATTGCAGCAGATATTTTACTTTCAACATTTTCTTCCAGCCCATTTGCTTACGTGGATCCCTTGCATTGTAACATGGCCTATTTGTACCTTGAGCTACTCAAAGACTCCCTCAACGAGTATGCATATGCAGCAGAGCTAGCTGGCTTGAACTATGATCTCCAAAATACCATCTATGGGATGTATGTAAGTACCAAATCAAGGAGAATCTTAAAAGCCTTAAATTTACTTCCACTAATCAGAAGGGGAAAAAATGATTTGCTGGAAGCAATTTTTCAATGGCTTTTCCAATTGAGAACCTGTTTTTTTCAGTTTCTTTTTCAACCTTGATTTCTAGCTATACTTTCTCATAATTTGAAATTTCTGGAGTCTTCAACATTTCCATTCGCATTCAGCAATTTTTGCACTTCATTTTACGTCATTCACCAGAATATTTGCAAGAATATTTTTTTTTTTACTTAAAACTCAAATTTACAGTCCGAATTGGAGTTGAGATACTGCTCCATTCCACTAGAGTTCCGAATGAGAAATCAAATTCCCAGTGTTTCATTCCCGAGAATATTAGTTATGAGGCTGCATATACATACTCTTCAGTCATGTTTCTTCATCCATTACCGTGTCGCTCCTTGAAGTATCAAAGCATCCTTTTGTTTTGTTTTTCTTTTTTGTTAGTCGCTACCTTTATGCTGATCCTCTCCATTGCAACATGACATACCTGTTAATCAGGTTATTGAAGGATGATTTAAAAGAGTATACATATGCAGCACGCCTCTCAGGTTTGGTCTATGCCATTGCATCAGGAATGAATGCAATACTTGTAAGTAAGATGGGGGGGGTGAACAAGCAAAAATTAGATGGCGTGAGAGTTGAGTGCTGCTTGAAAAAATGGCTACTGGTTTTGTCCTCCTTTGCATCCCTATCATAAGGGCGTGAGACTTGTGCAGTTTTATAACCATTTATTGAATGGTTTGGCCATGATTGGAATGGTTTTTTTATGACTGAGAAGTGTGCTGATGCATTACTGATCTGCATTTCTTACTCATTTGTATAGTCTAGTAACCTTGAAAGAGTTGCTATGTTTTTAGTTAAACATGGAGTTCTGCTGGCTTTCAGTCATTTAGATCTAATATATACTTAAAAAATAAAAAACCCCAGCCACACCACCACAGTACTGCAGGGCATCTTGAAGACTAATACATTTATTGCAGCATGAGCTTTTGTGTGCCAGAACCACCTTCATCAGACATGCAATTTACTAAATATTACTAACTGCATTATTGGTATGAGAAGACTGCATTTCAGGATCAAGATGACTTGTGAAACATGGTCCTTATATAACAAATGAGTACATTAAAAAGTGATCTCTAGTACATGACTATTTCTTCCCTAAACTTTCCCAAAACATTGCACTTACTTTTAAGACTCCAGTAATCTCTGCATAGGTCATACATTTTCTTTATCTGATGAAACATGGGGCTGCTAAAAAGCATGCTTTTTAATGTACTGGTTTCAGTGCTAAAATTGGCTGGGGGGGGGGAACAGCACAGTTTTATAGTATTTTTGCTTATTTACATTTGTAGCTTGCCACCAGCAAGGTTGCCAAGGTGTTATGTTTTCAGACTGCAACCTGGGATCTAGTCAATATGAGTCAAGTCCATTCTAATTTCTTTCATCATGTAGCACAGGGGTTGGGGAGCCCTTTTGACTTCATAGGCCAGATCCTTATTAGGATCTGCCTCAGAGGCTTAGTTTGCAAGGTTGGCAGAGCCTCCCACATACCAGACATCACAAATGACAGGTGAGTCGGTGCATCTTGCAGGCAGCAAGGTGTTGCTAAAACAAAGGTTTTATCCTTTATATGCGCAGGGAGCTTTGCAGATGCTGCTAGTCATCAGTACCTGCAAATCCTCTTTTTTCTTCTTCTCCTGTCCCCTCTAGCTCCCTATACACCTTCAGAGTAAGCTCCAGAAGGGTGGAGAAGCCTGTTTAGCATGTTGGGGGGGGGCAGGAAAGGGAGAGGAAACTGAAGTCACATTGCACAAGCAGCACCCAGTTGGCACTTCGTTCAATACAGCCTTGTGTGTATAGTGGTCAACCGAGTTATGCAATGATTTTATGAACCTGTCATCTTGATGTCTTAAACATTTGTAAGTCCCTACTTCTTAAAAATCAGTATATAATGGACTCTTCTGCTTTATTAACTATGGAACAGAAGTTTTTCTTTCCTATATTCTTTTCTAGATTTGGGTTCCTAGGATACTTTTATTCTTCATTTGGAAAAAGAATGATAAACTACTCTTTTCATTCCAATTAGCATATTGCTTTTCTGATTTTAATCCTGGGAAAGAGCAACAACATTTCATTCCGTTTTCTTTTACCTGACGTTTGAAGCATTGCTTTGCAGCATGGAACAATATTTGTTTTCCACTATAATTTTGCTTTGTAATTGTAATAGAAGATGTTAAGCCCTGGGAAAAAGTAACGCAGTAATAATATCACACATAGACTTCCATGTAGTAAAGGGCAAACCTTAGTATTTCTGGTGAAATAAGGGAGAATGCTTCCCAGTGTTAAGAAGTTGCTGTTTACTGCTTTGATGGACAATCTAGAATTATAGAAAACAGAATATTTCAAACACATAACAACTTATATATCCTTTTCCTATAGCTTTCCGTAAAAGGTTACAATGACAAGCAGCATATCCTGCTCAAGAAGATTGTTGAGAAAATGGCTACCTTTGAGATTGATGAAAAAAGATTTGAAATTATCAAGGAGGCGGTAAGCCATCTTGAACTTGACTTTGATCCTTATAAATCAGAATATCAAGCAGCCCATGCTATCAAGCAGGGGAAGACACCATACATGCAATATTTCATTCCTTGAAGGCAGGAGGGGGTGTACAGGAGCCTAAAAGTTCAAACAAATTATGAAGAATATGTAGGGAATGTACATATGCCTGCAGAAAGGTATAAGACTGCAATGATTGGTGCCACACTTGGACTGTCGTCATTTGCACACTTGCCTGAGAGTAAGCTCCATTTGAAAATAATGTGACTTCAGAGTAGTCATCCATAAGATTTAAGTCAATTAAATTTAGTGAGGGCTTTTTCAGCTATGACTCTGTCTTTCTGTAGTTCTCTTCCTCTAGCCAGCACATATATACTGTTTCCCATCCCTTAGTGCTGGTTCAGAGATTAGGAACAGACCACAGGATCCCATGCTTCTTCTCCTCCACCTGCCAGCTGCTCATCAATTACAGGCAAATTCCTGATGTGTTTTATTGGCCCCAGTATTGGTTGATGAATGCTAGTCAGGGTAACCTTTTAATCATGGATGAATAATGATTTGCCATCCAGCTTCAAACTATGATATGAGATCTCAGTTAAGAGGGAGCCCTGCCCATCTTGAAGGGCATTTATTTCTTTTATCTGACCATATAATTTGAATATAGAACATCAAAAAATCAGGCAACGTTCATCGCAAATCTTCATTTCTTAACCATTATTTTATTTTAACCTTGTTAGTACATGCGATCGCTTAATAACTTCCGAGCTGAACAACCACACCAGCATGCCATGTATTACCTCCGACTACTGATGACGGAAGTTGCCTGGACCAAAGATGAATTAAAAGAAGCTTTAGACGGTGAGCTGCTGCCAGTTTATATATTTTGCCCATTTTAATTACATCTTTTCTAATGTGTATTTTTACTTGTTTTGATTTTTAAATTGTTGTTTATTAGTCAAGCATTTTTTATCTCAACTGAACTTTGAGCAAAGTATTTTAATTTCATCTCAGTCTTAAATAGTATATGCATTCATACAACTGTTCTATGGAGGGTATGGAGATTTTTAGTAATTTAGATTGACTTAGTGGTGGGGAGAAAACCTTTTAAAACCTTATTGTCATGTTCTAGGTTTTTAAGATCTAAATTTAGAATTTAAATAATCCTTAATGATAACCAAAACCACATTTGTTACAGAGGGAATATTAAAATAGCAAAGCTTTAAGCATTTAAAATAAGTCCATTGTGAAGAAGCTTAACATAATCATCAAAATATCTTTCTCTAAAATATATCTAGTTTAAAATTATCCACCAGCAATAACTAGTCAATCCAAGAAGATCGTAAGCTTCCAAAAGTATGCTCAGATGTGAAGTTTGAAGTCCCTCACAGAAAAGTCCCACAGTTTTGGTGCAGACAGATTTCAAGAGCTTAATCCCCCTAACTGGGGCTTCATTTAGTTCCAACAATCTGCCCTTAAAGGGTGCCTTTTAAATTCTGGGATCTGGACAGCATAAAAACACTTTAAGAAATTAATTCCATATTCCTGTGGAAGAAGTGGTTATGCAGTATGACCCATGGATATATAATTTGCCTCTTATTTTTTACAGTTGCAGTTGTGCAGTTCTAAAATTCTGTTTGATAGTCTTAGGAGAGGGGTTCCCAATATTGTGCCCCCCCCCGTGTTTGACTCTTAACTCCCATTAGCCCCAGCCAATATAGTCAGTGTTCAGGAATGATGTGAATTGTAGTGCAAAACACCTAGAGGTCAGTACATTGAATATTCCTGTTTTCAGATGAGATTTCCAAATACTTTTCAGAACCCCAGCATGCTGAATGCCATTCCTTTCTTCCACTCTCAAGTCCTGTTTCCCTGTTACCTTTTAAAAGTCCAGAGATGAAGCTGTTCTAGCTCATCAATTTTCTTTGAGTCTAGGGAAAATCAGAACATTGGAGAAAGGTACAGGCACTGCCACTCATCTGATCACTAAGCATAGTTGCTTTTCCAGGTTGGCAAGCTCAACCTCCGTCATTTTAAGTCTGTGAACTGTGTAAACACTCAGTCTCTTTCAAGACAAAGGGAAGCACAGTAATATTTGTTTTATACTCTCAGCCAGACTCGTACAATTTGCTCCACTTTGTTCAGGAACATTGCATGGGGCAGGGCAGGATATAGGTCTCGGGAAGAAAGCAGCAGATACTTAATTCACTCACTCCAGTTTGCAGCCACATAGCTCACTCAGGGCTCACGCTGCTCCACTTAGAAGCCCATGTCTGTTATCAGACAAATGAACTGGGCCAACACAAACTCATGAGTGATTCTAATGACAGCAGCAGAGAATGAAGCAAAGGGGAAATCACTATCCAATCCATTCTAGTCCCCATTCCCATCTTCAGGGCTAGATGTAGACTAAATGGATTAAATCAAACATCCTTCTAGTTTAGCATTCTGTTTGCAGCAGTGGCCATCTATATGCCATCTGCTGTCCCCCTCTGTTGTCCTTGCAGTAATGGGACAACTTCATTGGATGCAGCACTGTCTTTAAGTGACACTGAAACATCAGCACCGTCCGGACAATATAATCTCAGTCTTCTTAATATAATCTCATTAAGAAGACCTTGCTCCACTTCACCACCCCACGGGCCTCGCCCTCCAGCAGCACCCAAGCAGGACTTCCTCCACATAGACTGGGCTGGGGGTTATCAGGGGAGGTGCTCCTTTAAATACTTGGATCCCATAACCATCAGTCAGTGCAGAATTTGTTGCAATATGATCGCTTCTTGCCTCCCTGTGTAACAGCCAGCATAATCATTCTGCGGTAGCTGCAGCCTCAAGAACAACCCCAAATACAGCATTCCTATGTTCTCTACCTTACCATCAGTGATATCAGAGATCTTATTTACACAGCATCTATTTACTAGTGATCCGTATGCCTGGCTGTAGACAGGCAGGAGGAAGAAATTTCTTTCCAATATTCTCTCCTCACCCCCTGACCCCTATGTAAGTTTCCCATCTTTCCCTTTGTACACTTCTACAAGGGAGTGGAGGTGTGAAATCTAGGTTATGCTGATTGTTTAGTTTCTAAGGTTGATTGCCACAATCCACTCTGGTGGCACTTAAACTTGTATTCACCATTTATATTCATCTACACTCACATGTGTTTCAGTGGGTGTTTGGATGTGCCTGTAGCTAAAGGCATTAATCCTGCCATACATATCTATGAAAAGTTTAATTAATTTCAGAATAACCACCAATCTCTGAAACTGCCATTCAGAAATAATTGCTGTCAAGATGATGGGGAATGATAAACTACATGTTCTTTTATGTAGTTAACAGCTTAAGCTTTATCTTCAGCCACCACCTGAATGACTGTTACTATTTTTGAGGCTGGATGTCTGTTTAGCCTAACTGCAGTGCAGCATTGTCTGTCTGTCTGCCTTTCTCTTTTCTTTTCTGTGTTGGAATCTGGGTCAAATAACATGTGAATTCTAAGCAAGGCAAACTACGCAGTGAGCACTGCAATTTTGTCCTGGAAACTTTCCCAAACTTGAATATTTGTGAAGAAAACTCCCACTGACTTTTGTTGATTATTATAATTTTCTTTGTCATCTTCTAAGACATGTATTGGATTTTAGGATGATATAGGCCTTGTTTTTCGAAATGGAAAATGTGATTGATTTTAAACGTCTAAATATCTGTTGTAGATGTCACCCTTCCCCGTCTCAAGGCCTTTATTTCTCAGCTGTTGTCACGGTTACACATTGAAGCACTTCTCCATGGCAATATAACAAAACAGGTTGGTTTGATACGTTTTTCACCAGAAGCAGATTTATACTGATAATTGTACGTAAAATCAAGGGTTTACTTAAGTTTCTCTATCTTTTGATCCATGCTTGCTTTTTAAATCTTCATAAGCTTTTCTGTCAGTGAGTCTATCTTACAGGTTTGCTTGTCCAATATTGTTCTGTGGGTGTCTTTAACTAGAGAAAAGAGTATAAAATAACACAGAAAGGCTATGACATCTATTTGAAATGAAATCTTCACAATGCTATATCCCAGACTTAGGTTTCTGTTTCTTATTACATATCTTGGGGACAGTACAGGTGCACAATCATATCTGTGATGTCTCTTTAAGCTTACTTTTCACATTCAAGATTGAACTGTTTGGCTGTGTGATGCTTCCTTTTTGTCCCAGATAAGTAACTGACCCTGTTAAGTGATTTCTTAAAATCAAGCAAAACTGCTTGAATGTTCAAGGGACTTGCATTCCAACATGTATTGGAATGAGCTTTCAGGCAGTTTATACTTCATGGTATCTGCGCAGTCTGCTTCAGTGATGAAATAAGGCTGTAAAATGGAATGCTAGTTCCACACACTTAAGTTCTCAAACAGGCATATAATTTGAACCAAGAGCATGTATTTAAAATAGCTGAGAATGAAGTCAGTGGCTAATGTTAAATGGCAGTCTGTGAGCTGGAAATAATAGACATTGTGATTTTAATGTTATAGTATAAGATTGCCTGGTACAGCTTTGTGAGATGTTTGAATATTATCTTAGCAAAGGAATTTAATGCAGCGATGTTAATGGTACTTTTGATGAAATTATAGAGCTAGTTTGCTTCCATACCCACCTGTAAAATGAGACTAGGGTCTTACATATTTGCGCTAAGTGTGACAGCTCTGTATTGTGTATATTGGTTGGATAAAATAAGTACGAGGAAGGTACCAACAGCCATGTTTGTAGAAAAAACTTTAAGGTACTCTGTCTGTAGAAACTGTATATATTTTATGTTAAAAGGCAACAGTGAATGAGCATGTCCAGCTCACTTATTTCTGAGCATCTTAAAATAACCCTTAATGCCATAGTAATGGTAAAATAATTTGACTTAAGGCAAACCAAAAGGGCAAGGTCTCAAAGTCCTCCCGCATGAGCCATTAAGGACTAGTAAAAACTATTTGAGTCTCCCCAGATAGTGAACTGCGCAGTGAACAATGACATCTACCATACCTGGATATTTAGTTTCATGGAAGAGGAAGTGGCTTTCCTTGACATTATTTATTTAATCAAACAAACCACACCCTGGTTTAGCATTTTTAAATGTTGTCTTTTCTATGCAAGGTTACTTTCTGTGATGTTAGAATCCAAAAGGTTTTGGCTTACTGAATTTGAATTTTAAAGCACATTTTAAATGAGATTTTCTTGAGTTCAGATCAGTTGACCCAGCCTTGTAGTTTTCATTTTGAAGTTGCATATCTGAATATGACTGTATCTTTCAAAAAGGCTTTGGAGTTTTGCATCTCTATAAGCACAGTTAGCTTTTAACAGCCTTTATTATTTTGGATTTAATTTCAATACATCTGGATGAGTTTGTTTCCTCTATAAAGGCTTTCCCTAGAGTGACTTGGGGCTTTTTTGTAGATTTGTTACTCATTATCGTAAGGTTTTATTTGGTACTTTAATGCATAGTGATTTTGATATCAACTCCAGAAAGTAAGACTCCTCTCTGGAGATGGTCAAAGGGTTTTATAACTTTGGCTTGTCAAAGGCATTTTTGCTGTTTGTGCAGCTGTATTGTTTTAGCCCCATGATGCATACACGTCTCTCATAGTTACAGGCTTAAGAGGACCATGGACTTGGACCTTAATCAATGCATAAAGTAGGAAATGAAGGGGGAACTAAGGAATTGCGTGGTTTCACTAAACTTTCAGAAACTAAATGCAGAAGAGTAGGAGACAAGAGTAATATGGGGATGATACAGCAGATGCTGGCTGTGGACATCAAAGTAGCAATGAGTTGACATATTTTCTGTAAATGAAGAGGGGTGGCAGGGAGGAAAAAACAATTCAGCCTTGTGTGCTAAGATGTAGGGCACAGCCATTGCATATAAAATGTGTATTTATTTATTTTATAAGTTGATCTTGTTTTCTAAAAGTATTTAAAACATAATGTAGAAGCAAAGATTCAGCCTTTCAGTTTTGTGTGCTTCATAGCTGTCACACGTACCAACTTGGCTTTGCATTCCTAATGCTTGCATCTGCTGCAATTAGTCATCTCCTTTTCCTTTCTAATTTCGCCATTTTCCGTAATACCTGTTATCCTTCTGTGTGCTACCACATGGACAATTGCCAGGAGATGAATAAAATCTCCAATGAATTTCTTCTCTTCCAGGCTGCATTAGGAATTATGCAAATGATTGAAGACACTCTCATTGAGCATGCTCATACAAAACCTTTGCTTCCAAGCCAGCTTGTAAGGTATAGAGAAGTACAGCTGCCTGACAGTAAGTTGTCCATTGGGACATAAGCTATAAAACATATAAAGCTGAGGTTCATGGTGCTTGCATTTGCAATAAGTCAGGATGAAATTTCTTGATTTGTTTTTAGAAAGTGACTTGCTTTCAGTACTGCATGGCAAATATTTCAAAATCAACGCCAAAATGATATATTATTTTGGCAACAATAATCTAGGTCTGTGTTGTGAATCTCTGTGTTAGTTTTGGAGGAAAAGGTCTTCCTCACTGAATAGAGTGCAGAATTACTATACAAATGAAATCACTCAAGTCTCAGTATTTGACTTTCAAATATATATCCTGAATTTATTCACAGCGTACAAAGAGTTAAGCACTGCAGAGTAGAAAAATGGATAGCAATGTGTAGAGGTGCATCATGGGCAGATCATGCACCATTTTGGAGCTAGTTGCTAATGTGGAAATGAGAACTACTGTTTACCAAACCACTCACTGGCATTGTTTGGGGTAATTATGCACCTGATTATAATATAAGCTGAAGTTCTTTGCTCATGGAACAAAGAAACCATGACTAGAAAAAGTACCGTATTTTTTGTTATGTAAGATGCACCAGACGATAAGACGCACCTAGTTTTTGGAGGAGGAAAACAAGAAAAAAAATATTCTGAATCTCAGAAGCCAGAACAGCAAGAGGGATTGCTGCGCAGTGAAAGCAGCAATCCCTCTTGCTGTTCTGGCTTCTGGGATAGCTGCGCAGCCTGCATTCGCTCCATAAGACGCACATACATTTCCCCTTACTTTTAGGAGGGAAAAAGTGAGTCTTATAGAGCAAAAAATACGGTAATTCATTTCAGTCCTAGGCTTCCAGATTGTGTTTATATAGAGTACTTATATTTTCTTCTCTAAACTAGTGTACATCGCATAGAGAGTATGGATGGTTCCCTGCTTGACCATCTTTCAAAATGACCCTTTGCATCATTTTCATGTTTTTTTAGGAGGTTGGTTCGTCTATCAACAGAGGAACGAGGTTCATAACAATTGTGGCATTGAAATATATTATCAAACAGATATGCAAAGCACCTCAGAGAATATGTTTTTGGAGCTCTTCTGTCAAATCATCTCAGAGCCTTGCTTCAATACCCTGCGCACTAAAGAACAGTTAGGTAAATAATAGCTTGCCTGTCTTCACCTAAATATTGTTACAGTGAGCAGAATTTGGATTATATACTTCAGCCACTATAGTTCAATGTAATGTGCTGTCCATGTGATGGCTGTGGAATCTTATTGCTGGTTTGGGGCCCTTTGTGCTCAGTGACAAATCAATGAAATCACTGTTTCAAAGAGATACAGGAGAATCATGAAAGTGATTTATACAATTTTAATATATATGCTGTTTTCTTCATGGTCAAAATGCATAATGTGAGATCCCTCCATTAGCTTGCACGAAAGCTAAAACCTGAGATTAGTTACGATAGTTATATCATCTATTCACTTGATGTAAGGCCATTTAAGGCACTAATGGTCATGTTAGAATTTGGCCAGAATTCAAGGGCAGAAATACAACCCCCTTCTGTCTTTTTTAATTATTTATTTAGTGAGTCTAATAGAATGAATTATTTGGTTTTTTTCAAGGTTACATTGTGTTCAGTGGTCCACGGCGGGCAAATGGTATCCAAGGACTACGATTTATCATCCAGTCAGAAAAACCTCCACACTACTTGGAGAGCAGGGTTGAAGCTTTTTTAAAAACCATGGAGAAGAGTATAGAGGACATGTCTGATGAAGCCTTCCAGAAGCACATCCAGGCTTTAGCAATTCGTCGCCTTGACAAACCAAAGAAACTGTCTGCCGAGTGTGCAAAATACTGGGGCGAAATTATTTCCCAGCAATATAACTTTGACAGAGGTAAGAAGCACTCCCAAGCTGGAAATGTAATTTTTTTTGGATGAAAGCTTAACAAAAGTAACAATTCAGACCATCTAAAGTGTACCCACCATGCATGATAAAATAATAATATTTAGTTCTGGAATACACTTAGAAGATTAATTAGTGTCAAAGTCACAATGCTGGGATACTGCACATAGCTGGGGTGACCTGGTCAGATGGGTGGGGTACAAATAATAATTTTTTAAAATTAAATTATTATTAGCTATTTCTGTGGTATTATCTATTTCTTTGCCCCATCTAGACCACATTCCATTTTTGAAAGCTGCCTGGCATGTATTCTTATAACCGATTATGTGATGAGGGATTTGCATTCTAGAAATTCCAGTGCTGCCTTATCCCTTCCTTTGCATCAGTCTAAGAACATATGATGCTTGATGCAGATACTACTGATCCATTAATCATAGCTAAGGACATGGAATGTCACATGTGCACAGGCTTCAGAAAATGTCCTGATCCTTCAGTGTAGCAATATTTTCAGTGACAGGCATATTTCGGGTATAGGGCGGTACATAAATTCAATAAATAATAATAATAATTACAATATGCTGAGGTGTTGTGGTTTGAAGGAAGTGTAAATTTCATAATTGTATTAATTATAATCTTTGTCGTCCAGATAACATTGAAGTGGCATATCTCAAAACTCTTACTAAGGATGATATTATGCACTTTTATAAGGTAAGCTGGTCATAATATTTCTGATTAGTTTAGCTTCTGATTGTAAAATTGTGTAAAATATAAGGGAATATACTAATAACAGTTTGAGAACTTGATAAACATCACAACTTTTATCTAAATGGAGTACATACATATACCAGATGTTAAAATGTTGCTGTGTGCTATGACCATGACAATAGAGCCTGTGAGTATTCTTCTGTTTTTTTATTTTATTCCACATTCTTTTTACCAGGGTAAAAATGTTGTTCCCAAATTATTCCCTAGTCACTCATCAGAATGCTTGCTAACTTAATTCTGTGCATACTGTCAGCATAATTCAAACATGTAAATGATAGTTTTTCTCTTCTTTTTTGCCTGGACAAGCCAAAGCTCTTTACAGGAACAATTATATATATCTGGTTGGGTTAAAATTGTCACACTATATTCTAAAAGCTTTTTAAAGTAGATGGGGGTGGGGAAGAACAACTATTTTTGTTGTTGTTCTTTAGCCAGATTCTACAAAGCACACGTTGTCTTTGGGGACATCTCTGCAGCTACTATTGTCATTGTTACGTATAGCACCTGAACTGTTTGTATGCTGTATTTAAGGAGTTATAGGGTTGTTTGAACCTTGCAATCAGCTCTGTATGTATAACAGTAATTGGTGATTTTGCAAAATTAATAATATTGCCTTATTGAGCAGCTGCTTATTGCAATACAAGTACATAGCAGAGGAGTCCTATAGTCCAACTCGGTGGTTCTCAACCAGTGGGCCGTGGCACCCTGGGGTGGCTTGAATGATGGTCACGGGTGCCATGGACAACACTGGCCTCTGTCTCTCCTTCTTTCCTTCCCTTCCTCCTCTGATACCCTCTTGCATCTCTGCCTGTTGCAGCAGCCCTGGCTATGAGCTCCCCAGGTGAATGGTGTCTCTGGGGCTGGCCAGGGGGTGCTTCCCAGGCCCCTGTGGGGCAGTGGAAGGAGGCAACTCTTTTGGGGGGGGCAGCTCAGAGACCGGGGCGGCAGCTACCCAGAGGATTCCCAAGGAGCGAGGAAAAGAGAGGAGCCAGAGGGGAGGGTGTTTGAAAAGGGGTGAGGGGCTGCTAGCTCTGCAGGCAGGGGATGACATAGCTGAGCTCAAGAGGCCCAGGGGGTACCACAGAAAAAATATTGTTGGTCAAGGGAGCCATGGACCCAAAAAGGTTGAAAACCTCTGGTCTAACTCAAGCCCAGCTTGGAAGAGACGAGGAGAAAATACAACAGGAACACTACAAAAGATAATAGTGTTATTTTCCTGTCCTCCTTGTGGGCTTCCCATATCCATTGGCTTGACCATTGTGAGAGCAGAATGCTGCACAAGCTAGGCCTTTGGTCTGATCCAATAGGGCCGCTCTTACAATATTAACAGCAGTCATGCTCCCAATGTCCCTGGAATAACCTCCCCAAATCAGGGGCAACACTCACATGCCACATGGACACAGAGAGAGGCAATCTGTGCATGCTAAGAGAGGTGTGTAACCATCAGGTCACAATGCCCACAACTTGTAAGAAACACAGAAAGCTAAACAATGCCAAAAGGCACAGCGCTAAAGTAGTAGCGCACTTGCAAAACATTTTGCTCATCCCCTCCAAACTGGCAGTGGAAGAAAGCAATACGACCAGGTGGCAGTAACAAGTAAGGGTGCAATGTGTGCAGCTTGCAAGGCAGGTAAAAATGAATACGTTAAACATATTCCAGGGCTGTTGGTTCAAGTTCAGACGAACTAATTTTCCCCCTTTAATAGATGATGCTTATTAAAAAAGGTGTGGTCATTACAGTTTTGAAGTGACTCAGACAAATTCATGCATGCTTTTTGGATCTTTGGTTTGAATATCCTAAGCAGAATACATGTTACATATATGCTAGTATTGGTTTTGGGAGTAGTACAACAGAACAAGGTGTAGGTGGACAAGGAAGCACATGACTCTTCAGCAGTAGAAGCCCCACTAATGAACCCTCCCCTAGGCTAGAAACCATACAAAAGGGTATTTCCTTCCATGCCCCAATGGTTGCAGAGCATGAAGTACCGGGGGAAGCCAAATGCACACGCAGCTGAAAGAGGCAGCATATAAGGGCAGCGCACATCCCTTTGGGTCCCTGTTTTCAAACAGCAGAGTGGATTAGGAGAGAGCTCTGAATCCTTACCCTGTCTGTCAAACACAGCTGCTCGGTGTGCAGTTAAAATGCATGGTTGCAGACTGTAATCAAGAGGTAGAAGATGTGCTTTCAGTGTCTCCACACCAGGAGCAGTCATGAGGATATCCAAGATGATAGCCATGCTCTCTCCTATCAATCCACTCCTTATGCACACACCCCCATACCATATTCCTCCATCCATACCCCCAGTCCATTCATTCCCCCATCACTGCATCTGTCCAGCTTTTGCATGTGTACACACACACACACTGCAAGAAGGGATGCAAGAAAGGGAATGAAACACTGTGCAGCGTTTCTGTTGAACAGATTATAAGGCAGCTTCTTTGAAGTGAGGCAAACTTCTTCCTGCCATCTAAAAAAGTAAATTAAAAAATATTTTGGAATTGAAGCCTCTCTTAAAAAAATAATTGTGTAAGGAGCTTGCCATTAACTGCCCCCCCCCCCGCAACTTTGGAATGGAGATGCTTTTTCTAGAACCACTTTAGTTACTTTTAATTATGAATGCTCATTGTGTTCAAGTCAGTGCTAATAGAACTTGACTGTGCATTGCATCATGGTTTTCAGTAGACTTGTCATTACGGCCGATTAAGAAAATGTTAATTATTGATATAAGTGCATTGTAGTTAAATTATTTGATTACAGTTGCGGAAGGCAATTGATTTAAAAAGGTAAAGGTACCCCTGCCCGAACGGGCCAGTCTTGACAGACTCTGGGGTTGTGCGCCCATCTCACTCAAGAGGCCGGGGGCCAGCGCTGTCCGGAGACACTTCCGGGTCACGTGGCCAGCGTGACGAAGCTGCTCTGGCGAGCCAGAGACGCACACGGAAACGCCGTTTACCTTCCCGCTAGTAAGCGGTCCCTATTTATCTACTTGCACCCGGGGGTGCTTTTGAACTGCTAGGTTGGCAGGCGCTGGGAACAAGCAACGGGAGCGCACCCCGCCGCGGGGATTCGAACCGCCGACCTTTCGATCGGCAAGCCCTAGGCGCTGAGGCTTTTACCCACAGCGCCACCCACGTCCCAATTGATTTACTCCCCAGCTAATTCTGTTAATGAAGCTTTTAAAAGATTTGAGCAACTGACAGCTAGATTGACTTTGAATTGCTTACTCTTGCCATATATTTTAATATTGCTCTTAAGTATTGCTAGTGTTTCTAGATTATTCAAAAATGGCTCTCATCTCTAGTAAGTGCACCTATTTTATCATTAATTTTATTTACCTTCCACAGTATGTGGAAGAGATTTTGGCAGAATTTGAGGTTTTCTTGGGCAGGCCACAAGCACTATGTAACAGCCAGGGTGAGTTAATGGGGTGGACTCACTGGCATAATTGAAATATTGACAAGCCAGCCCTGCTCAGGATCAGGGAGGGGCCCAGTAGGTCAGTTCTGTTTAACACTGAACAGGTGTTTTCATGTTTGCAAAAGAGTGACTTGAGATTGTATATGACAGCATAAGAAGCAGCAGTTGGCTGCATATCACAGTGTGCATAGGCTACATATTTCTCTTCCTTTTTGGACATTCCACCCTACTTGGATAAAGTGTCCTGCTTGGGTCAGGCATATCTGCTCCGGGCTAGCAGACTTTCTTGCACACTTTGGTCTGCAGTGCAGATGTTCCTGTGCTTTTGTTGGAATAACCGATTCTCATCTTTCTTTCCTCTGTCTTTCTGTAGGAGATGTTATCAGTTGATGCTCAAAGAAGGCACAAAGTATCCGTGCATGTACTAGCACGGGAAATGGATTCCTGTAAGTACTGAGTGCCTTTCTTTGTTTCCAAATTATCTTCACTCAAGTTTGCACAGAAAAACACTTGGTAGAACAAACAGAATCTTTTGCATAGGATGGTTATGACCTCTAGTGGATTGGTGGGAGTATATTCACTCTCAGGAGTCCTGGAGAATAACAAATGTGAGAAAAGTTTGCAAGTGTGCAGATTTTCAAGCAGTACGAAAAGCAGTTCAACCCTTTGCTTTTAATGGTCTGTTTAATATCTGTGTATAAAAGTAGATGTTTTCCTAGAGGTTTATGAACTGTTGTTGTTGTTGTTGTTGCTTTAAACAGGCCCTGTTGTGGGAGAATTTCCATCTCAGAATGATGTCAACCTGGCACCAGCTCCACCACTGCCACAGGTAAGATGTTTATTAATCATTTATGAAAAAAATGAGAGTGCCCAATATACGCTCCAACACTGTTATTACTCGCTCAGCCTTATCATGTTTAGAAGTAACTATCCCTGTGTTCAAATGAGGCTGGTGGGGCATATCACCACCAGGAAATGCATTACTCATGGGACCTATCTGGCTGCTATGCTTGGGACAGCTTAACCACTGTGTGAACAAGCCTTTAGAAAAATTGTGAGTGTCGTGAATAGTATAGATTTGGGGTGTGGCACTTCTGGTACATGGAGCTAATTAGGCCCAATTAGGCTTCTGTATTTGGCCATTTGAAGCAAACCACACCTACCTGTCAAGCACAGAGAGATGTTCCTGTCTTAAGATTATCATCATAACATATTGGATATATAGTTTTGTAAGAAGCCACTTTTTAGGCAATTTTATCTCTTAAATTTTGCATCTGAAGGAAGTTCTTATGTAAGCACGGTTTGGATCTTAGTTATAATTTTTTTGCTATTGGCTTTTTAACTGAAACTTAAGGACTTGGTCACCCTTTGGCTGATGATTTTAAAAATGAATTTTGCTTCAGTGAATACATATAGGCTATGTGCTTGATTCTCAAAGTTTCTTTTTCTAAAATGTTTCTTTGCAGCCAGACGTGATTCAGAATATGACAGAGTTCAAACGCAGCCTGCCACTCTTTCCTCTGGTGAAGCCACATATCAATTTCATGGCTGCAAAACTGTGAAGAACCTTTGCTGGGTGAAGAACTGGAAGTGGAAGAGTCTTGTATGACTTCAGTGGATTTTCATAATGAACCAACATCTTAAGCTCTTGTTAGGACAAACAATCCTGTCCATTATGAGGGTTCCTGATTCCTTCTAGGTTCATTCGGCATTTCTGGTGTGATAGGGTTACAGCAAATTAGGCAAATAGGCTGTAGTCATGCGTCATGTTTATTGTAGAGCCACTCTTGGAAACCAAAATCAAGTGGTATATTCAAAGGTCTGTGTAGGTATGGTATATTTTACAATAGTGAGGCCCTTTTAAAGGTTTTGTTTGCATAATGGAATATGAAGAAGCTTACTGAACAAACTGGTGTTATTTTAAAGGCCCTTCCTTTTCTTATGGAAAGTCATTAAGATTAAGCAATTTATTGGATGTGGAGGAACGAAACATTATTAAAATGCACATACTGATTTTTAAAGAAAAGACTTAAGCATATTGATCCTCAGAGCAGCCAACCATTTAGGTACTATATAAATCAGTGGAAATGAGGGGGAAACGTCAACAGATATATTTCAGATAAGTTACCAGGCATATTGACATAGTTTTAATCTTTATACACATTTGAGGACATTTTTTAATATTCAGACTAGTAAAATGCTGGAAACACCTGGCTAGCCACCCTTTTCTTGCCCAGAGTGTTACCTTCTGCTTGTAACCCTTGTGTTTTCTCAGGGTTACTTGGAAAATGTTTCATTTGCATAAATAAAATCGTTTTGGCGCTTTTTCTTCCGGTTGTTCATGTATTGTTTTTAGATATCTCATCAAACTTGCCCTCTCTTGTTGGGTATGTGACTTGTTGAAAAGGCTATCAGTGACCCTTAATAGGTGTTTAAGCTGTGGACATGGGGCAGACTTCTGTGAGAAGGCATAAAATGGAAATCTTAGTCTTTGTCACAAAGACACAGCACAGTGTGTGCCTGATTCCATAAATGCACCATTTGAATGTCCGGAACAGGGTGGCCCTTCAAGGCATGTGATACAACAATACCTTAATCTGACCTACCACTGTTTTTGCAGCTCTTGGTGCAAGCTTTCAAGCTTTATCAGGCTTAGATATTTTAAAGTGACAGGGAAGAAGAAATCCCAGAACAAATGGAAGGTTAGCATTTGCTTAGCCATGCCAGCAATTAAACGTCAGCTCAATAGGGGAACATCACATTGAGCCTGACCAAGGCAAACTTCCCTGCGCTTAAAAGCTTGCAGCCAGTATTTTAAACACGGTTTAAATGCTTATCCTGGATCATTTTTATTTGACACTTCAGGCATCTGCAATGCAATAATAGCACAATTTAATAATCAGGATACAGGAAGTTGGTGCCAACTGCTTTCTAGGAAAACAGCACAAAGCAGAGATTTGTATGCAAAATAAACAGGAATGATAAAATAGAATAATTTTTTCATCTCTAGCCTATTGGTTTTAGTGGAGGTTGTGCTACTAAAAGCTCATAGGAAGACAAGGGAGCCAGGTGCTGAAGTTTTCTTAATCTGGTTTTTGGAGAGAAAAGGCATACATTTACCAAAGTAATACGTCTTTTAAATGCTGGCTTTTTTCCAAGTTTGTTATACAGATTCTAAGTCTGAAGTATTTCAAAGATCCCAATGGATTTCTAGTCTCAGCTTGGTTTTCTAAGAGAAAATGTGCCTCCTACTTCAGAAATCTGACCTGCATAGCACTAATCGTATAAGAGCACTGGTTACATGCTTTGCAGTCTGAGGCTGGAATCTGAATGTCTTGGCTACCCCGTCCACTGTTTTGTTTTATTAGTTCCAATGTTGATTGCCTTGTGAATTGTCAGAATAAAATTGTGTGTTGCATTTTCCTGGAGATATGATATATAATATCCGAGTAGGAAGTAAACAGCTAACCTTGGGACATAGAATTAACCTGCCTGTATCTTTAAAGGGCGCAATGTTTTATCATTGCTGTATTTTACCCTGTTAAGGTTCAAGGCCCCTCCTGCATCTTACAGCAATGCAGTGAGTTAAAAGAAATAGGACATAATTTCTCAGGGAGTGTTAATGCTATTGAACATTAACCCTTCACGTCCAACAAGTTCATTACTCATTATGGCTGGCATCATGGTAAAGAGGTCATTTGATTGTTTTGTTACACAGAAAGCTGTAGCTTTTTATGTGATACAGATGATAGGTTTTCCACTCCCTTCCTAACCTGCTCAAAAACTGAAAACACGACAAGGAATCAGATGAACACTTCATGTGATAAGTGGCATTAGACATGACACACGCTCCATGGATATTGTCATATCAATTATACCTTGATACTTAATTATACAGCAAACTTTGTTTACAGGATGCAAGCTATGACGGAGGCATCATTGGAGTTTAATTATGCTAGTATTGTTGCATATGCATGCAATCTGTTCAGGGATTTCCTCATCCAATCCAAGCAAGGTTGCACAGGAACAAGACTTACAGAATTTTATCCAGGAAGCTTTTAATTCGTTATCTAGGGGGAAAGACCCTGTTTGTGGCAAATAGTGTGTGTGAAAAAGAACCATCAAATAATTTCTGTCCTTAGGGAACACCGGCTAAGAGATGCACAGGATTTCAATAGTGGTTTATGCTATTCACACCCAAAACGTTGGCATACCCATGGTGATTCCCATTTTGTGTTAAACGTCTGTGCTGGTAACTTTCTCTCAGCGAGAACACACTTTGGGAATTGTATGCTTAGTTCCCTGTAATAGAACATTGGGCATGAGTAAATGTTTGGTCAGTCCCAAGAATGACTTCAGAATGCTGCAGTGGTCTTAATCTCATTTCTCCCACTCTTCCGTCAATAGTGTAAAAAAACATTTTGCTGGAAATCTTGGAGGAGTGGAGTGAACATGTTGGAAAACGTGCCATTTTACTGTTGCGTTGCCAGCTGTCAACAAAAAAATGCTACTTTTTTTTCATTCGTACATACCATATTTCTCTCCACTGTGCTTTTCACAAATATTTAAAAGGTTTTAGATTTTTCCTCACAAATACCTCATTTTTATAAGTTTAGCTCCCCCCCTTTTTTTGTTAAAATCATTTGCACAACTATTTTAAAGAGATTGGAACGCACACTGCAAAAATTATATATTTTGAGACTTGTTAAAACGTGCACAACTCTCAAGAAGAACCCAATGACTTTGGTAGAAAATCAGTTCATGAAATAGATAATTCCTAATGCAATATTTTAGAATTTATATGACAACTTACACATTGATGGAAATTGCTCCCCTTATTTTTGTAGAGCAAGCATGAAACCACTTTCCAGGGAACTGGTTGAATACAAGTCTGTTCACTGCACGCTCCAAAGTGATTTCATGATTGCCAAACTGAATGTTTTTTTTAAAAAAAATGCTGGGGTTACAACATAAGCAGAACATTCTTTTTTGTGGCGTGATACTGGTCCAGTTTGCACATAGCACCACTAAACCATGGGCAAGACTCAGTGAGCGCCCATGTCCCCCCTTCGCTCCTCCACAGCCAAGAGGAGGACTTCTGCCGAGTTTGGTTTCACTTCTAAAACATATTGTCTTAGTCTTACCTACCAACCAGGATTGCTGGTTTAAAACATTGTGTCTAATTTAATTAGCCAACTGCATAACTCATAGTTTGAAGTTGGCTTGTTATGAAACTGACTACAGTTTCATGTGTGCATGCAGTTCACCATTTGTGGCCCCTCAGCATCCTGAACTATATTTATTTATTCACTACTTATAGGAATGGCCAAGGCGGCTAGCAAAATATATAAACAGTATCGTAAAAATAAATAAAAATCCATTGTACAATGAACCTTTATTCTGAAATATCATGAAGTCAGTGTGTCCACATGCTGTGAATGCCAATGTGTCCAGTAGAGAGACTAAATTTCTTTTTAAGTGTTCTCCAGCATTTTATGATTTCCAAGTTTGGTAGAACAAAATGCAGTTTGATAACTCAGGCATATCAGTGGATTCTCTCCAGTAGATCCAAAGCTGCAGTGTCAACAAGCAATAACAAACTACCTAGACTACACTGTAATTCAGTTTTAGTGCTCGTTAACAAAATTTATGTAACAAATCATAAATTATGACTAGACTACTGTAATTTTTGCAAGTGCTATTTTGAGCAGTTAATGTGGAATTGGGTGCATGTTGAACACAATATGACAGAGTGCTTGTCATACTCTTGACAATAAACAATCTGAATATAACCTCGAGTCCTGAAATGGTTTTATTTTTGTCACATTCTGGTAGCAATGCATTTGTCAGCAGCTGACTTTGCTGGGCACAAGACGTCATTTTAGGAATCTAGATTACAGCTTTCAGCGAAGTCTCCTAACGCATTTCACTTTTACCTTTTAGGGTCCACCCTGCTTTTTTAAAACACCCAGAGGATGGCAGAAACATTAGGAATGAGTTAACAGCTGCACTAATCAATTTTGTTTTAAGCCTTCCAAAGTATTTGTCTCCGAAACGTGGTTTGAAGTACAGTGCTTTTGCTTTACTAGAAAGGGATTTACTGCTCCAGTCTTAATTTGCACCAAGGAGATTTCTGTTTCCTTTAATTCCAGCCTACTTTCTCTAAATCCCAGAGCCTCCGTTTATAATCTTGGAGATTTCTTGGAGAACAGGCAAGGTCCCTGCAGACTTGGAGCTAGGGGGAAACGGAAGACACAGGTAACTAGTGACTGGTGAACTTGATATTGATACCAGAAATGGTCATAGAACAGATAATTAAACAGTCAGTCTGTGAGCACTGAGAAAAGGATGCTATAATTACTAAAACCCAGTATGGCTTTATCAAAAACAAGTCATGCCAGATGAATCTCATTTCCTTTCCTTTTTTTCTTTTTTCTTTATCTGAGTTACTGTCCCCACAGGGGAACGCTGTGGGCATAGTTTACAAACCGTTTATAAGCCCCACTTATTTCAGTGCAACTTATTTCTAGGCAGGTATATTCTGTATGGATTGCATCTGGGCACTATGACACTCAGAAGTCCTGTTCTGAGCCAAACCTGATCAATAGACACAAAACTGCAAGTTAAAGAAGCAAAAGTAGACTGAAATCAACAGACTCTTCTTTCCTGGTAAGTACACTGAAGATTAACAGCCTTGCTTGGGAACAAGTGCCCCCTGAGATCAATGAAGCCTTATTCTCATTCAAGTATAGCTCAATCTCAAATATGCTGAAATAGGGACGTGGGTGGCACTGTGGGTTAAACCACAAAGCCTAGGACTTGCTGATCAGAAGGTCGGCGGTTCGAATCCCCGCAACGGGGTGAGCTCCCGTTGCTCGGTCCCTGCTCCTGCCAACCTAGCAGTTTGAAAGCACATCAAAGTGCAAGTAGATAAATAGGTACTGCTCTGGCAGGAAGGTAAACGGTGTTTCTGTGCGCTGCTCTGGTTTGCCAGAAGCGGCTTAGTCATGCTGGCCACATGACCCGGAAGCTGTATGCCGGCTCCCTCGGCCAATAAAGCGAGATGAGCACCGCAACCCCAGAGTCATCTGCGGCTGAACCTAATGGTCAGGGGTCCCTTTACCTTTACCTTACTGAGGGATTGGACTACAATCCTAACCATACCTCCTTAGAAATATGTTTCTCTGAAATCAGAACCTCAGATTGTGTTGTACATAGTTGTTTCCTATCAAAGGTGGACCATTCCCAAACCTGGAGAATATTTAGAAATGGAAAATGCTTGCTGCACATGTAAGGATAAAGCTCTGCTTTTATTTACACAGATTCTAGCAAATCACCTGCTTGCAAGGCTGTAACAAGAGAGGCACTTAAGCAAGAAACAATTGCACTGGAGTTCCAGGCCGTGCTGTTTGTTCTCTAGCCGAGTGGGTTGTCAAGATAACCCTTCACAATTAACCCCTGGTCGCCAAAGGAATGATAACAAGTGCAACGCAACTGGAATTTTCTCAGTTGTCCTTTGCTGAAAGAGAATTGCGCCAGAAAATAATCCTGCTGGGATACGCCCTGAAATGTTAACCTAACTTTTCCCAGGACTTTGTCTATATTTCAAAATTCAAGTTACGACTACAGTCTTGAGGAGGGTTTGTATTCAGATGTACTTAGCAGAGAGAAAAACTGCAGGTCATTATGCAGTTAATTTTAGGCATTGTACATGCCATAGGTCTGAAGCACCTGATTCCCTCCAACTAACACTTGAAATTTTAATGTATTTTTTAATATTTTGTTGGGACCCGCCCAGAGTGGCTGGGGAAACCCAGCCAGATGGGCAGGGTATAAATAATAAAATTATTATTATTATTATTATTATTATTATTATTATTATTATTATTTATTGAAACTAGTTTGAAGATGCTGAGAATTGTCGCTCTGTGAGGGGTGAACTACAGTTCCCAGGGCAAAGACTAGCAGTCATAGAATTGTAGAGTTGGAAAGGGACCCCAAGGGTCATCTAGTCAAACCCAACAGACCTAACTGACCTGACATGTCAATTCTGTGATTGGATTCCTCAGTGTTTTACCTTTCCCTTTTATACCCGGGGGAAGTTTTGACCTTTCTTGGAGAGGTGGTGAAGGAGGTTCTCCAACCCCAAACCCCCGTATTTCTATTTTGTTTGTATCTAGAAACTATGAACAGTATACAGTGGTACCTCGGGTTACATACGCTTCAGGTTACAGACTCCACTAACCCAGAAATAGTACCTTGGGTTAAGAACTTTGCTTCAGGATGAGAACAGAAATTGCGCGGGCGCAGCAGGAGGCTCCATTAGCTAAAGTGGTACCTTAGGTTAAGAACAGTTTCAGGTTAAGAACGGACCTCCAGAACGAATTAAGTTCTTAACCCAAGGTACCACTGTACAATGGAGCAGTTCAGCTAAGGCAATGAGCTTTGGCTGTACTACTGAACTTTCCCTCCACCAATCCCTGCTCACTCCATAAATCTGAACAGATTTGGGGAGATTTCTGGGACAGAGGGTAAGGGAAGTTCTGCTGCGCTAACAGAACTACTGTTTTGGACTTCACACTGTGTTTGCATTGAGTGAGGAATACAAAAATCAAAATAATAAAGTGTTGCTAGCATGGCAGCCTATTTTGTATTACAGTGGTACCTCGGGTTAAGTACTTAATTCGTTCTGAAGGTCTGTTCTTAACCTGAAACTGTTCTTAACCTGAAGCACCACTTTAGCTAATGGGGCCTCCTGCTGCTGCACCACCACCAGAGCACGATTTCTGTTCTCATCCTGAAGCAAAGTTCTTAACCCGAGGTAATATTTCTGGGTTAGCGGAGTCTGTAACCTGAAGCGTCTGTAACCTGAAGCATCTGTAACCTGAGGTACCACTGTACTACTTATGCTGTGTTACTGAACAATTTCTAGGAGCATTAAGTAGCAACCCCCTCTTTTTCTTTTAAAGCTTTCTGTTGTCTTTTAAAGCAAAAAGGTTGAAGAATGACGTGACACACTCGTTTGTCATGTGCGCTGCCAACGCTAAAAATAATGTTGACATTTATAGAAGATGCACATTTGAGCCAAGTTTTCCCTACACATGACTCTTCTTGAGCTCAGAGAGGCTCTGCGTGTGTCAGGATAGGCCTTTGAAACACCTTCTCTTCTCCGCCACCACCCTGTCAATTTTTTGGTATCCCATCCCCGCATTTTGTGTCTTTTCAGGCTGCTGCAGAGCAGGGAGAATTACTAGTCACCCAGAAGAGGGTTGGTATGTTGTGTACTGCCCTGGAGGGAGATGCTGTCAGCAATACATTATGTACATAAAAGGCACTCTGGAGGATCAGGGACAAGCTACGTGGCATGAGCTCAAGCCAAGCTGGAGAGTTTGTTTTGTAAAATTATTGTCAGTTGTAGATTTGCCACCCTGCACTCACCTGGAAGCAGATGTTGTCTACTTGGCTGCCTTCCAACAGTCTTGCTTAGGGCTGATTCTGTTCTTGTGGTGCTTGAGCAATGGTTTGTTTATTAATTACCTGCCCTTCACCCTAAGTTCCCAGGGCAGGTTACAGCATTAAAATACAATATTAAAAGTCATTTTAAACAACTTAACAGCCCTAAGGATAAGCTGGGTGCTAAAAACATACTCATTACATATCAGAAGCTGCTTTAGCACTAGCTGCATAAGGTAGGTGCCAGACATGTGGGAAGGGAGTTCCACAACCTAGGGGGCCACCACAATAAAGCCCTCTCCCAGACTGCCCTTGTCCCGAACCTTTGGGGACAGGCAGTGGCGTAGCGTGGGTTGTCAGCACCCGGGGCAAGGCAAGTAATTTGCGCCCCCTAACCCGTGGATTTGCGCCCCCTAACCCGTGGATTTGCGCCCCCTAACCTGTGGATTTGCCCTAATCCCAGATGTTGCGCCCGGTGCGGCCGGCCCCCCCTGCACCCCCCACGCTACGCCACTGGGGACAGGAACTACCAAGAGAGGCCCCTCTTCCAATCTCAACATCCAAGAGGGTCTGTAAGGAAGGAGGCGGTCTTTCAAATATTTGGGGCCTGGGTCATTTAGGGCTTTAAATACCAACATGTGCCTTGAATTGGGCCTGGAAACAAGCTGATAACCAGTGCAGCTGTTTTAAAACAAGGTGGTGCAGTGGTCTAAACCACTGAGCCTCTTGGGCTTGCCGATCGGAAGGTCGGCGGTTCAAAACCTTGCGACGAAGTGAGCTCCCGTTGCCCTGTCCCAGCTCCTGCCAACCTAGCAGTTCGAAAGCATGCCAGTGCAAGTAGATAAATAAGTACCACTGCAGCAGGAAGGTAAACAGTGTTTCCGTGCATTCTGGTTTCTGTCACGGTGTTCCATTGCACCAGAAGCAGTTTAGTCATGCTGGCCACATGACCCGGAAAGCTGTCTGTGGACAAACGCTGGCTCCCTCGGCCTGAAAGTGAAATGAGTGCCACAACTTTTGACTGGACTCAACCATCCAGGGGTCCTTTACTTTTACGTTTTATATATATATGATGCCATACAAGCTGTCTTACTCTCCCATGTGATCTAAATAAACAAACCTGATAATGCACAGGTCCACCATGACTCTGACCTATGGTGTCACCTCAAATGAATGGAGATAGCATCTGTTTGAAAAGGGTGTCAAGCTTTGTCCAGGTTCCAGGAAAGAGGTCACCAGCAAGATGCTACTTTGATATGGAAAGTGACTGAGCTCCATGGTGTATGTGTGTAGATCAGCCGCTTAGAGACAAAAATAAATGAATACATTTAACATGCTT